CCAACGTCATCTGCTAGTTCCCTCAGGACCCGCGGATGTATCTCATCAGGTCCCATGGACTTGTGCACCTTCAGGTTCTTTATATGGTCTCGAACCTGATCTTCTCCTACAGCTGGCATTACTTCCTTCTCCCAGTCACTGCCTTTGAACAAACCCCAAACCTGATAATACCTAAAATGAGAGAAATCTAGCTATATAATCTATATCTAATCTAATCTAATATACCAGGCTGGATGAGGCTTTGAGCAACCTGGTCTAGTGGGAGGTGTCCCTGCCATAGCAGGGGGGTTGGAGTTTGATGATCTCTAAGGTCCTTTCCAGCCCTAACCATTCTGTGATTCTATTATATTCTCTATTATTTCCTTGTTCTATATGCTCAGCTAGCAAGTCATGATGTAGCTTTTCTCTTTGTCAGCCCTGCAAATTCACTTTAACCTTTTCTTTCAAATCAGCTAGCTTCTGCACCTCAGCCTTGCAGCCTCTAGGCAATAGATTTTGACTTCCCTGGCACTTCTGTGGAAGTATCAAGAGAGACATAAGGAGGTGAACATTCAGGTAGCTGGAACTAATGTTATACTCCAGCAGGCTGTCTTTCAGGAGTAGGCTTGAGTCACACTGAAAAGACCTGCAGACAGCTGCTATTTTTGTAGTACCTGTTCAGTGGATAGAGGATTTTCCCAAGGTGGTTATTCTATTGTGAAAATAAATCGCTGAGCCATGTATTTTCTGTTGCTCAAAGAGTATGTTGCTTTGTGGGTTTTTTTTCCCCTAAATAATTCAAATTGTTGGGGTCTCCTACTTGATTATCTTTGGGTATTTTGATTAAAGCTGTAAGGCATTCTGTTGAGTTGGTAAGTGAATTGGTAAAAAGATTAAAATGAAAACTAGATCCTTGGAAGTTTCTTTGGATTTGGATATTTCACTTATTGTTTAGCAAGAAACTAGTGTGGATACTCCTTTAAGAATTTTCAGAAAGCTTCTGTTTTGTATGTAAAATTGAGACACCTGAAGTAGTCAGGAAGCTCATAAGCTTAGGGAATATAAAGGAATTCAGCAGAAAAGTGGTCTAAGTTGTAATTAGTGAGTTTCAAGCTAGAGCCTTTTTATCCTTTTAAAATCCTTTTAGTTAAGACAAATTTTCCACATTTTCATATTACCAAACAACGTTTGTTTTATAAAATAGCCTTTAGAAAACAGGCTGGTCTCTCTTTATGGAATCATACGCTGGGGATCTCCATTTTCTTGGGGTCCAGCTAACTTCAGAAGCCCTCCATGAACAGGGGAAGTGTGTAAGAATGGGTGAGAGCATATTCTGATTTTAAAAATTAGGCTTTTGGACTGTAAGCTTTAAAGGAGATGTTTAGGAAGAGAATTCTGTTGACTGTGTTGTTTTTTAATAGGAACGGTGGCAGCTGCGGGAGGTCTCCACCCTGGCCAATGCATAATCAAAGTGAATGGAATTAATGTCAGCAAAGAGACTCATGCAAGTGTTATTGCTCATGTCACAGCATGCAGGAAGTACAGGCGACCAATGCAGGTATGTCTCACTTGGTACCCTTGCAGATTTTCTTCTAATTTTTTTTTTTTTTTTTGTCAAAGTAAAGAGTGTGGTGTGTACCTCTGTTCACATACTCATTGTGTTTGAGTGTGATAAGGGGAAAGGAGTGGTGAATAAAAGTGAAGGCAAGCTAGCTGAGTTGAAAAAGCTGAAGATTGCTCAGTAGACTGCTGATGTTTAAGGTCTGTTTAATTTCTGCATGAACAAATCTAAGCTTATCGCTAATTTTTTTCATATGATATTTTTAAAGGATTATTTCAAGTGTTTCTGCAGTTCTATGCAGAAAACTTTACGAGGTATATTGCCATCATGATGGAGAGGGATTTACACAGCTCGCTGCCTGCTCAACACCATCAGAAAGCAATGCAAAAAGCTGTTGTTCTTCCAGAATTTTGTAACATTTCAGCACATAGAGAGCAGAGTGCACATATTCCACCTATAAAAGTCTCTGTGTTCCCATTGCATTCCAATCTTGGGAATAAACGTACATTCAAGGACTCTAAATTTCCCTTTTTTTAATGTAAGCATGCAATTTTTGTTATCTTTTTCACGTTAGTTTGTGAGACAATCTAAGGCTTCTAAGACACAAATTTAAGGAAGAAAACCAAAACCACCTGGATTCTGTAATGTAAATTTTCCATGTTCCTGCACATTTTTTGTAAACTGTGAACCAATATCATTAATTAACTTCACAAACTCTTCCAGTGAATGTTAATTGAGGAGAAAAATCCAATTAAAATAAAGAGTGAAATCCTTCTCCCACACCCACACCTACTGCATAGATATAAGAACTATTAAGTAAGAGTTAGAACTGTGTCATGCAAATACATTCTTTCTGAAAAAGTTTGTCCGCTTGTTTGTATTTGAACTCTAATACAGGATTGAAGTTTTTACATAGCATATCAAGATCAAGCTCACCTATTCTTTAAAGGAAGATGCACTCTAGTAAAAGAGAGGGTGCTTTGTGGACTAGTAGCAAAACTGGCTATAATAAAAGATAAATTCTTCATAGCAGTGGTGTTCTCTCGATATGTAAGTGTGGAGTTTGTATAGAGATTAGTGACATACAAAGAGGATTGGTTAATGTTGGCTGGCTTGAACGCCTTGGCGTGCAAAATTACTCTGTTTTTCTTTTTATCCACTTGTATAGTATGTTGGAGTACATAAGTCCAAGAGAGTATTTATTTCAATCTAAAAATGTAGCTGATCATAATTTAGCAAATCACAAATAACTAAAATCCCCCAGACTGACAAGAAGTTCATTGAGGATGTAATGCTCATCAAATGCTATGGGAGAACTGTCTAGACTGAAATAAATGGCAGTATTCCCTCTGGTGTCAAGACAGCTAAAATTTCATTTCCTATTCAGAAATTTTGGTTTTTAATTATTTGGAAAATGACTGTGTAATTCTCCTATTTTCTCAGTGCTGTGCATTAGCCTGTCATTCAATTAACAGGAATCCCGCAGCCTCTCTTGTGGTTGCCAGTTGCATAATCGAAAGGCAGTCTCTTTCTGTATCCTATATATTCCGCTTCTCAGGGTGAGGAGTCTTTCAGCTTGCCTGGAGTGTGAAGTTTAATTTCAGATTCTTGCAATGTGAATAACTGTAACTTCTGTTGGACAATGTTTATATTATTTCTTTCTTGTCTGGATAAAGAAAATTGAAAGCAGATTTTACTTCTTGGAATGACATAGAATTTATTTGCAGTGATTCCAATCATGGTGTGACAGATTTATGCTCAGTTTGTGCCTCTGTAATGCTTTTGGAGAACATTGCTCCAAATCATGTAGCTTTATATCTTGTGTTAACTTTTGAAAGAGGGACTTCCAGTTTAAGTAATTAGTCCTTCTATGAGGCCATATTAAGTTCAAATAATGAAGGAAGCCTTTGACATAATGTATATCTCCTGTTAGAGGTTGACGTGTCAGTCTTAATGCTGCCAAGCAAACCTGTAGGACTCCATAAATAAGCAGCAAGCTTTCAGGTGTGCCTGCAAAGACGTGTGGGTTTCAGAAGTGTTTCTGTTGATCAGCTCGTACACAGGTGTCAACAAAGAGCTCTGAAAGTTAAGCTTCCTTGTTAAAATATTTCAGTGCTGATGAGTGAAATGTAAGGCATAGATGAATCTAGGAAACCTGGAGAGAGATAGTACCTTAATCATACAAAAATTTAGTTATCTGTGGTCAATGGGTTAAAGATAGTGGCTGAATACTGTATAGTAGCAAAGCATAATCTGATGTACTTGGCGTTTTGTGTGAAAATCGCTAACATTCAGTAAAAACTTCTGCTATCCTTGTTTAACTTTGAATTCTTTCCTCTAAACTTTTTTTTAAAGTTTCTGAATTCAGATTAGTCATAATTTTGTCATTTATTCTGCTGTAGCTGTTGGAGAGGGAGTGATTAACTGACTGCCAAGCTTCTTTTGAAGTGTAAGGGGAAGATAAGAGTAGTCTGGAGATGCCATGCTCGATAGGCACTTCCGCAGGGATGTGATGGGCATTTGGCTGAATAAGTGAGGGGGTGGAACAAGATCTAAGGCATACACGTGGCTTCTTCATAGGTTGCATGACCAAGCCACCATTCCTGTGCTCACGTGTTACTCAGTCACATAAGATGCTGGACTTTTGGGGGCTGTGTTTCTGTCCTTTTTGGGGGTTTTGCTAGTTTGTGGGAAAAATAAAGGACATCTAGTAAAATAACTGTAGTAAAGGCATATCTAAGTAATGAAGGCTGTAGTGTACATTGTTCTTGCCAGTGACACGTGGGTGATAGATTAACTGGACATAGTACATCTTGGATTGGTGTTCCATAATGTTCGCCAGCAGATTTGTGAATGCACAGCAGATACAGAAAGGTAAAAATCAGTTCTCTTTTTGTGATTTTTTTTGTCTCAAATATTTTTGAATCTGCAGTTTGATTTGAAATGTCGTAAATTATTTTTGGCAGAGACATGAAACTGATGGGTGTCATACTGTCAAAGATTTCATACTGTCTCATGACAGTATACTTTGAAATGAAAAATAAGTTGACAAAATCCTTCAAATGATTGTAGACAAAGCCAAAATTCTCTGTAACTTTCAAAATACTATTTTTAACTTGTAGCTCAGAAAGCAATAAAGCTGATAATCAGGGAATTAAAACGACTATTTCATGTTTGTGAGTAGTGAAATAAGTTGCTATCAGTTGCACTTGCAAAGCTTTTCCTAGCTGTCTTTTTTTGTTGGTTTTTAGCAAGATTCTATACAGTGGGTTTACAACAGCATTGAAAGTGCACAGGAAGATCTTCAGAAAACAAACACCAAGCCCTCTGGAGAGGATGGAGGAGATGCCTTTGACTGCAAAGTGGAAGGTATGAGATGCTTGCTTTAATTTTGTTGGTGCTCAGAACATTGATGTAGTAGCAAGGAAAATATAGGCAGTGATTTTGTTCTCAGCGAGGAAACTGCAAGCAGACTGCAGGGTGCATTTTACATAAGGATTTGCATTTTTATGTATTCTAAAGATGCAACTTTAACATGCTGTTGTCTGAAAATTCTATTTCCCATTTCATGAAAAAGCTTCTGTTCAGTTTTCATTTGTAGGATACATAATCCTAGGAATTACCTAATTTATTTTCGCCACCAGTAGTCATTTCAGGCTAAATTAGATGTTACTCACTGCTGCATGAGAAATGACAAATCAGCTATCCTTCAGATTATTTTCAGGCAATTAACATTTAGATAAAACTGCATTCAATATGCATCATGGTAATTAAAGAGAGGGGTAACATGTGAGCTGTATTTATGTTCACTGGGTAAATGCTGACATTGTGGTTTCATTTCTGAATGTTGACATTTTTCATAGTAATTTTCTTCTAGTTTATTTAGAAGTTCTATGTTTTCCATGTTTACTTGCCTTTTTTTGTATCTCAGGATTATAAATTAAATTGAATTACTCCCCTTCAATAACTGCTTGTGAAGGGAGACTACTGTGACTTGTCTGTTGATGCCTCTTTAGCAATCTGGTAATTTAGCATTCATAAACCTACTGGTGTTATGATTTTTTAAATCATTCTGCTGGTAACTGGGTTTTTGATGAATGTTTTTGAATAGAATGATCAGATCATATCTGTTTCTAGAACATTTGCCTATGTCCTTTTTATTTTGTTTAATGGCCAACCCTCCTCAACTAATTAATGTGATTTTCTTTATTCTAGAGGTAATTGACAAGTTTAACACTATGGCAATAATTGATGGGAAGAAGGATCATGTGAGTCTCACTGTAGACAATGTTCATTTGGAGTATGGAGTGGTTTACGAGTATGACAGCACAGCTGGAATGAAGTGCCATGTGTTAGAAAAAATGATTGAGCCAAAGGGATTTTTCAGCTTGACTGCAAAGGTATGAAGCAATTTTTGTATGTATTAATTCTTACTATGCTTAATCCAGTGGAGCAACATCTGTCTTCTGCTGATTCTTAGCATTATGTGTTTTTCATTTAGTACGTTATAATTGGTCACTTTTGTCCCTCTGACATTTTTGAGGATGATAGTGTACTCACGAAGCGAAATAAGTTATAGTGTGGTTACAAATTGAGCCTCTAAACTGAATAGATGTTAAAGAACTTTAAAATCTTCCATTCCTTCTGCCTCTCTCCTGTTTTTTCTTAATTATCAAGTAAGGCTTCAAAGAAAGAAGACTCACTGAAATGTCAAAAGTTTGTGAAGGTAGGTTGTAGTTTCCAAATATTGGTTAACCTCATCAGAATTGCATATGCAACTTGTAAAAATTGTTTCAGTAAGAGTAACAGGAGTAGCGCAACAGCTGTTTTTTCTGTGCCTTAAAGGAAAATAAAACAGGTGCACTCCCTGGCAAAATCACAGAGGAAGAAAAAAACAAGTGTAACTTTTGAGTTTGCTTTGGTGTTTTTTTTTTTTTTTTTTGTGACTATTTCCAAATGGTAAAACCAGGGATTGCTATGAACGGGATGTGAAAATTTTTTATTTATAGCTGGTGTTGTCTGGGTCAGATTGACAACTAGTGTAGTAATGCAGCTCTCTTACTAAGTTTGTTTTTATCTTTTCACACGCATGCATACTAACAACCTACACTTAATAAAACTATGAAAGCCCAAACTTTTAGCGAGTGTATTGATATCTGCACATTTATTTTTCTGTTGATCTTTCTATAGAAGTGTAAGCTAAGGTGCTGATCTTTTATTGACATGACTGAGATATGGACACATGTTCCTTTCCCTGAGGTCAGGTTGACAGATGGGAGAGTTAACTTCTTGATGGGAGAGTAACATCAGGAGATTTGATGGACCTGCTCTAGTCAGTGCTTCAAGTCATTGACCTGAAAGATGTTAATTCTTGCTATATTTACAATTTCATATAAAATATTTAAGGTATTCTTTCCTAACTGCTTAAGAAATATTTTTCCGTTGTTGTATATGGAGTAGTTAAGTAAAGAAATACTTCTAGCACACTACTTCTAGCCTTAAATAATGTCACCCTTAGTGTTGAGTCTGGTTAATTAAATATTTAGAGATGATTAAGAAGCAATACGGATATGTAATGTCACTATGTTAGAATAATATAAAAGTTCTGTCAAGTGATAGTGGTCTAAAAAGAGGTGATTAGCCCACTCTATTCAGCATTGCTGCGGCCTCACCTTGAGTACTGTGTGCAGTTCTGGGCCCCACAATTTAAGAAGGATGTTAAAGTCCTTCAGTGTGTCCAGAGGAGGGCAACAAAACTGGTGAAAGGGCTGGAAGGCATGGCCTGTGAGGAGTGGCTGAGGACTTTGGGCTTGTGTACTTTGGAGAGAAGGAGGCTGAGGGGTGACCTCATTGCTCTCTACAGCTTCCTGAGGAGGGGAAGTGGAGAGGGAGGTGCTGAGCTCTTCTCCCCGCGATACAGTGAAAGGATGCAGGGGAATGGTTCAAAGCCACACCAGGGGAGGTTTAGACTAGACACTAGGAAGCATTTCTTTGTCAAGAGGGTGGTCAAACAGGGGAACAGGCTTCCTAGAGAGCTGGTCGGTGCCCTACTCCTGTCAGTGTTTAAGAGGCATTTGGATGATGCCCTTAATAACATGCTTTAAATTCTGGTCAGTCCTGAAGTGGTCAGGCAGTTGGACTAGATGATCATTGTAGGGCCCTTCCAACTAAATTTATCTGTTTTATTCTATTCCGTTCAATTCTGTTCCATTCCATTCTAACAGGTCCATCAGTAGAAAAATCAGATCCCTTAACTCAAAGGCAATAGTAAAAATTCATCAAATATGAAACTTCATCAAATAGAACTGTCTGCAAATGGTTTTAAATACTCTAAACATAAACTACTCTGTGCTTTCTTTGGGGTTTTGTGCTTCTCTCAATATGCTTCTTTCACTCTTTGTAGCGTATTTATTGTTGCTTTGCATTTTTAAGCTTCTCTATTCTGCATCATATGTAGTAGGGGAGTGAAGTAATCCTGGACTACTTTCCTATATTGTGCAAATCTTTACTGTGTTAATTATGATGAGAATTACTGTGTTAATTATTATGATGAGAAAGTATGCAAAGTTGTGCTGCAAATTTACTGGTTTTTAATGCACTTATTTTAATGTACAGATGAAAAAACCCCTTGAATTATTCAAATTTGCATTTTTAATTGAGCCTGACATAAAGCAAATTTAAAAGTATGACCAAAGTGACTAGATTGTTTTAATAAAATAATTAAACACAATAGCAAAAGATTATAAAGCTTTCCTTGAGTCATTTATGGTCTGTGACTTCTTAAAAACTTCAAATTTTGCACTCCAGAATTTCTGTACATTTTCATTTTTTTCTAAACTCTTTGGTCAAGCTTATAAAATGTATGTTGCATCTGTGATTGTGGATAGTGTAATAATGAACTAGCTGTAGCAGAAGTGAATTACAGATGTAAGTACCGTAATGGATTAATACTGTATGTGTTGTTTGTCCAGACTTCTCCAAGTTTCACTAAAATGTGAGTTTTTTTCTTATTTATGCCTTAATCTGAATTTTGGATGCCTTTGTTATTGTGGGTGTGTTTTTCAAACACGTCTTTAGAGTTGGACCCAACCAGCCATAGGCATCTCCCAGGTTCCATAACACAGTGAATTTCAATGTAACTCTAACTCCAAAAACAAAAAGGCTATATGCTTCCCTCATATCTTCAACATGCCTTCTTTTCAGTTTTCTGTCACCATTATTTGCTGGTGTTATTTTCATCATAGCAAGACTTCATTCTTTGCTGGGTGGTATGGCTTGTTCTGTTCTCTATTCCCTCCTTATGTATGCAGAATATACAGGAGGGTAACACTCAGTTTTCTCATACGCTTTTAAAATGTGTTAGTATCACTTATACTAGCAGACCAAAGTTTTGCTACAAGTAATGAATTAATACATCAGCTTTGCATAATTACTGTTCAAGTAAATACAGCAGACAATGTGTTTCAGAGGAGCCATAGTGGTTACATTAGTAGGAAATTAGTAGTAAATCCATTATCAGACAATGTAATGAGAAGCCAAATAAAGATACTTATTATGGGTATAACTTAAACATATGACAGGGGATAGATTTAAAGAAACTTCTTCCCTTCCCTGCAGTTATACAGCATTGCCTGTAATGTTAAAAGGCAACTGATGAGCACGCTCTTCACCTTTAATTATAAGGGATGGTAAGTAAGGGGTTATCTTAGTCATCTTATTTCATAACGTACTGCTCTTGTTTTTATTGTCTTAGATTCTAGAAGCACTGGCAAAAAGTGATGAACATTTTGTGCAGAATTGCAACAGCCTCAATTCCTTAAATGAAGTAATCCCCACCGAGCTTCAAAGTAAATTCAGTGTCATTTGCAGTGAGAAAATTGAGCATATCTACCGAAGAATCTCTAGTTATAAAAAGGTATGACCGGCATGTCCTAAGCCTGGTGATATTTGTCTTTGTAAGGGAAAAACAGAGGGATGTGGTACATTTCGAATCACTCTTCAAAATGTCTATTGCAATAATAAAAATATGTCTGACAGTTTACCTATTTTGAGGCATGAATGCCTAAACTGAGTAATTGTATAAATTGTTTTCAAACAGTGATCTTTATTATCCCTTATTTAGACAATGGGTAGATCGTATCCTTTCATGTTTGCTGTGTTCAGTTGTAGATAAAATCAACTGCATATTTCCCACAGAAGGCCGAGCATTCTTGTAAATGCCTTAAAACAAAACTCTAGTGAATTTGCAGATGTTAACCAAAGATGAAGCAATAACAGCAGAATTGTTTTTTTCTTCTAATGTGTCTTAATTTTAAATACCACATTGTTACGCTTTTATTCATCTTTTATGCCCTTCAAATTGGTATGACTTTTTCTAGCATGACTATTAATAGTAATAGCTCTGTAAATTGATAGATTAACTTGGTTTAATAAGATGTAGAATGGAAAAAGGTGCTGACTTTCATACACTTGAGATGTAAATTAATGAGATGTGTATGAATAAATAGCCTGGAGTATGAACTCTGGTTACTGTCAGCGTATTTCTCGATAGTTGTTCAGCTAAGCAAGCCATAAATGAATCGACCATTTGCTGATTTGTTAATGCGGGCTTATTTTCTCATCCTGGCTTCTGATTCCTCTCCCATACAACCTAATTCTTGGGAGTTTGGAACTTGTTTGAAGTAGGACCAAAATGGCTACATAGAACTGTCTCTTCCCAGTCTTCTCTCAGTTGGGGATCTGAGTTGTGACATTTATACACTGGATGTGCAAAAAACTGAAAAGGAAAAAGAAAAGGAAAAAGAGGTTTAATGTAGAAGCTTCACATGGTTCTAAAACTTGCATTGAAAAGAACAGATAACATTTTTCTTGTTTTTCAAAGGAAAAGGAGGGAAACTGTAAGGAAAACCTGTAGCTTCAGTAGCATGAAGGCCAAAAAGCAGCTTTCCAATGACTTTTCGGGGTGGTCTCTGACAAGAAATGGAATAAACTGAGGAGCTGAGTCACAGAAGGAGACATCAAAAGGATTCTGATACTGCATTACCAGACATCTGATCTCTCCGTTGTTGACCTGAATTATAAATGTCCATATTTTCAAAATTGGTTCAAAATCAATGTATATTTTTTAAAAAACAAGTTAATTAGTTTAAACATTAATAGTGTATTTAGAGTTTGAGTAACATGTAGGTGGTTTATACCTTTCCTGTAGCCAGAAAATTTGAGCATGATGTACAGTCTCTTTATAGGAGTCCAAGACAAAAAATGACATTTTATTGTGTTATGCTGGGTATGAAATGAACAGCCTCGGGGAAGTTTTCTTGGTGCTTATAATATCTGGAAGCAGATTGCTGATACAAACTGCACTTTCAAGCTCATCTGCTCGAAAATCAGTAGTTTCACAGTTAGAACTTTTAATGACAATTACTAATGCAATGAATTTCAGGAATAGATATGTCATTTTCTTGGCAAGGTAAAGGTAACCATAGTTACAGAAGACTTTGAGAGTGCCTGAGCCCAACTTGGCTCCTGGTTTCACTGTGAAAGTTTGGATTCTATAAATAGAAATCCTGTAGATTTCTGCAGTTCCTACTATTATTATTATCATCAGAACATTTTGCTCATGATAGACCTCAAGTCCAGTGCCATGAGTCCCAGATGTTTCTCAACACATATATGAAAAGAATTTTGGGCCTGACTTATGACCTGAATAAATCGTAGCCAGGCATTTGGTCTCTCTGGAGCAGAATGTGTGGGAGATTGAGATGTGAAATATGTACTGCTGGCAAAAACACTTTCATCGTTGAATGTCCTTAGTGCCCTTCTTAACTATTTGTACATTCTTCAGCCTTTGAACAATTCCATAATTGGATTTCTTGTAACCTTCCAGATCTTGCTCTGATATAAAGATTTACATGTAGTTAATCAGTCAAATGTTCATCAGGCTGAAGTAATATGACACCAAAATAAACAGAAGTTGAAATCCCAGCACAAAAACCTGCTATTACTCAGAAGGGACATACCTTTGTTCAACTGAAGTGTTAGTCAAAACTTGACTGGTTGAATTTGTACTGACATTTATTAAGGAAAGAACTTTGCAAGTTAACTTTGAAAATATTCTTATGCAGGAGCTATGCTCCATAGCTGAGGTAGGCCTGTGCAATATTTTGACTGGAGAGATACTGTGATTAAAATACCAGGGACTTTGAACTGATTACATCTTTTCCAGAAAAAAAATCTCCCCTAACAACTGGAAAGGACACATTTTGACAAAAATCCTACTTGTGACTGACAAGTGTCTTTTCCAGTGGGGGAGCTTGATCTCATGACTTCTATGATTCTGAAGCAGATGTATTTTCTAAGTGTCCAAATTTAGTACAGTTCAGTCTTAGCCAGTTTGAGTTGACATCTTCTCATCTTAAAAACCAAATATCTCTAAGCCTGTTCAAGAGCATGCACAAAATATTGGGTGTTATAGTGAAGGAGGTGTGGCCAAGCACTGTATTAGAATTAGATCATAAAAGAGAGGGGAAAAAAATGTTCATCATTGCTGAGCTGATATATGGGGGAGAGAAGAGGTGATGGAGTAACAAAGTCTGTAAAATATGGTATTTGCAAATTTTATGCTCTAATATTTGTCAGCTTCACAGAATCACTCAAAATCACGGAATGGTTGAGGTGGGAAGGGACCTCTGGAGGTCAAGCAGGGCCACCTAGAGATGCTTGCCCAGGACCATGTCCAGATGGCTTTTGAGTATCTCCAAGGAGGGAGACCCCAAAACCTCTCTGTGCAAGCACTTAGTCACCCTCACACTGAAAAAGTGTTTCCTGATGTTCAGAGGGAGCCTCCTGTGTTTTGGCTTGTGCCCATTGCCTCTTGTCCTCTCACTAGGCACCACTGAGAAGAGCTTGGCTCTGTCCCCTTTGTACCCTCCCTTCAGGTGCTTAAATACATCGATGTGATCTCTCCTGAGCCGTCTCATCTCCAAGCTGAACAGTCCCAGCTCTCTCAGCCTTTCCTCAGACGAGAGTCGCTCCAGTCCCTTCATCATCTCGTGGCCCTGTGCTCGTGGCCCTGTGCTGGACTCTCTCCAGTATGCTCATGTCTCTGTGTTTCTGGGGAGGCCAGAACTGGACACAGCGCTGCAGGTGTGGTGTCACCAGTGCTAAGTAGAGGGGTGGGATCACCTCCCTCCACCTGCTGGCAATGCCTCTTCTAATGCAGCCCAGGAAACCATTAGAAAAGGCTTCCCCATTCCTGAATATCAAATTGGTAATTCATACTTTCAGTTTCCATCTTTATTACAGTTCCAGGCAAAAAAATCAGAAAGTTTTGCAAGACATTGACTTGAGAACATCTGTGTCAGCAGGTGTTTGTAAATGTCATGTGCAGTACAGCACTGGATCATACAGCATTTCCAGACTTTCTCCTCAGGAAGACACTTAATATTTTATTAGTGTTGCAAGGAAAATAAATTCTGTCTCCTTTTTGCAAAGCTGTTTACATTCATAAAATGTATCATTTACTTCAAAACCCAACCTCTCCAAAATGTAAATGGAATTTTTATTTTTTCTTTACCTTCTAGAGAAACACGGAAATTACGAAGTCAAGGCATCTGAAGTTAAGGATGCCTGAAATATTTTAAACTTCTGTTTTCTAGTCAGGTACACGAGTTTTGTCAGCCAAATGCTGGTACATCAAAAGCTGTTAATCAAAATTTTGTTTTCTTTCTCACTTCTAGTTTTCAAGAGTATTAAAAAACAGAGCTTGGCCTGCCTTCAAACAAGCGAAGTCAAAGATTTCACCACTTCACAGCAGTGATTTCTGTCCAACCAATTGCCATATCAATGTGATGGAAGTGTCTTACCCTAAAACCTCAACTTCCCTTGGTAGTGCCTTTGGTGTGCAGTTAGACAGCAGAAAACATTCTTCCCATGAAAAAGAAAATAAAAACACTGATCACGGTAAGTCAGTTGAGCTTGAAAGAACTACTTCTAATGCTTCTGTTATAGAGTCTTAAAAGGTACCTGGTTGAGGTTTATGACCCAGATATTAAAATTAAGGACAAGGCTTTATGAAATCTCCCTGTTTTTGATATTTAGGTTCATTTGAGAGCATAATAATGGCTAGTCATAATTTTACAATAACTTTTTGTTTACATAGCTTGACTTTGATATGCAAAATAAAATGCAAAATTAAATAATTACTTGAAGCTTTAAGCAGGAAAATATTTCAATGTCTGTTAGGTATTTTACTAACTTTATGTTGAAAAATAAGATAATGCTGTAACCTCTTTGGATTATTCCAGGTAAACTGAATCCCATGATTTATGTCCAACATACCATTACTACTATGGCTGCCCCTTCAGGACAGTCTCTTGGCCAGCAAGAGGGCCATGGTCTGCGGTACCTCTTAAAAGAAGAAGATTTAGAAACACAAGACGTCTATCAAAAATTGCTGTTCAAATTACAAGCTGCACTGAAAGAGGTGGAAACATGTGTCTGTCAAATAGATGAGTGAGTAAATGTTACCATCTGGACTTGCCTTTAATTTTTCCATGTAATGTTTCAATTTCAATAAATATGAGTAGCCTTTTTGTGTAGTGTGGGATCAATGTTGAGTTCATATAGAATTGAAATAAGGCAAAGAATTTAAGTGTAGGTAAAATTATATTTTGTTCTCTTTCACAGCATCCCTGATTTTTTGTCACTTTAGTTTGTAGCTTTTCTCTAGAATTTGGAATTGCTAGTTATTTCGAGGTGAGGGAAATATGAGGCCTAAATCTTCTAAAATTTCACTAGGAATGGAAACAAAGGGCAGAGGTATAAAAATTGCTTTTATTTAACTCTTTGGGTATTGATGGATAGTCCCAAAAACGAGTTTGTAGGTAAAGCACTTTTCACCTGTAGGAAGATTATTAATTTGACATTTTTCAAAATGAAATTGGCCTTAATGAAGAAATATAGATCCAGGGTGAGCCACTCTTAAGTGATTAGGACACTTGTCTTGAATTTTGGAGACTTAGAGTCTCATCACAGTTTGTCCTAATTCAGGACAAGGATTTAAAACTTGCTTTTCCATTGGTGAGGTAAGTGGGTTGACTTCTAGTCTGTCTGCTGTCTTGCATGAGGAAGGATGATAGGCCTTTCAGTTTTGAAAGATCCCATATGTAATGGAAATGTCAGAAATTATTCATTTTGAAAATACAAATAATGTATTTTTTTTGAGTTTAGAAGCCAGTCGTTCATGATCTCCAGTTGGGAAAAGTGGTGTATCATTGCTGCTTCTGTTATTTTGAAGGCTGTAGAATGATTTGTCCTTTCATAGTTATTTCAGAGTGGTAGGGTTTTTTGGCAATGTTCTAGTAGTAATGTAATGTAATAGTTGCACAGTAACAAGTAGCTTGAATGTATTACATGCTGCAATAGGAATGAAAGTAAGAGTGGCCTGAAATTTTTTAAAGAAAAGGTTGTTTTCTGTGTTTTTACATAATTCTGCTAATTATCATGCTTAAGAGGAAGTCAGATTGAAGATAATTTCAGTGCTTAGGTGCACTCAGAAAAAAATTACTCTGTGAAGCCCGTGTTGTCATTCTTCCTCAAGGAAGTCAGAAAATTATATATGGAAGTTCAGTCAATATTTCAGGAGGTTCCACTTACCAGTCTGCCACGCCTTTCCTTTCCACTCCCATGAGCTGGTGATGCAAAAGCACAGGAACTTCTGAGCCTTTCTTTCATACACATTTATATAAAAATACACACACACATAGATTGTGTGTACAGGTATATAAATATATATACATATATTAATTTTAAGAGTCACACAGTTGTCACAGTAAACACAAAGGTTCACTTTTTCTTTCATAAATTTCCTGTATGCTGACCTTGTAGCAGAGCTTTTGTAAGATGCACAGATTTATTTAGCAGATTTTGCCTTTTGCTATTTGTAACAGTGATGACTTTTCATTGTTTTATTCCTCATGGACTTTTGAGTGGACTGCCAGTGTGTAATTACTGTGAAGAAAAGCGGTTCTGTACCGGAAACAGGATAGCCAAGGGACCTACTCAAAAGTGCTGAACAGGGAAGAGGGAAGTCAGGACTATGTGGGTGTGAGCAGTTCAACAGTACGTGGTGTACTATATTAGAACATATTTATAGCTGCTAATTAACTCTTGAGAGAAAATTTAGGACTACTAAGAAACAAAAGAAGAGTATATAAGATAGGATAATCGAACAGCTTTGCTTTAATTAGAAATATTAATACTTCATCAGCTAGGAGTACATGCTTAAACATCCTTGAAATTTTTTACAAAGGTTGTAGAACTTTGTTTTCTGTTATGTTAAGGGCAACAACGACATTGATGTCTTCATTTACTGAATTGCTTATTACTCAGGCTATAAAATATGAATACAGTATCACAATTATAAATTTATATGATAATGATAAAAAATTAGGTTACTGAATGATTTTGTGGTACTCTTTATAATGGTACTGTTGAAAAAGCTGTTGCTCTTTCATGTTACTAGATGTTTCTGCTCTGTACTAAGGTCAGCAGTGGTCTCTCTCTCAACCCTCAAAATCTTGGGGCAGTGGTGTCTTCCCAACCTCTCGTATCTGTTAGTGAACAAAAGAGAACTGAAGAACGAGTGTGTTTCACCTGAAGAGCAGGTGTGAGAGAGCTTGTGGATTATGGGAAGGGGATGTCTAAGAAAAGACTGTGTTGTACTGGCATTATCTTCATAACAACTTCCATCATGGCTTCTTGGGGACATTGGGTTGAATCAGAAGTACAGTAGTAATGGAGAGAGAAGGAGAGATACACACAAAAAGGAAGTATATCCCCTTTCCACAGCCTCTCAAAGTTCCGTTAACTCCTCATTCAAACATTTTAATGGTGTCCCAGTACTTCTTTAGTACCATTGCCAGATACCATCCATCGATGCTAGGTGTTATACTGAAAAAAATTCTTCAGGTTGTTTTCTATAAGGTGACTCTGCTGTATTTTTGGTTCACGTGCAGTCAGTGTGCTCCCATGTTCCCAGATGTTTTCTGGAGGGATGTCTGTTGGGAGTATACATGAGGCTTGAACATTTTCCGAGCCTGCAGGGAGTGAGGAAAAGGCAAAGCAGCTCACAGGTTGCATAGGTTTCTTGTTACTGTCCGTGGCTATCTGTTTTTAATGCTTTGATCGACCGTATCAGGTTTTGTTTGTTTCTGACATACTTTTAGGATTGCGTTGATTTGACTTGCATATAGGATTAATTCCACATGTGAGGATTTTTTGTGGTCCAGATTTAAATTTCTCTGTTTTATGGAAATTTTCTGCATAGTTACAGAGACCTTCTAGCTATTAATTGCTACTCATACACATACTTCTTCTCTGAGAGATAGGTGTCTAAGATAACTTAGTTCGGGGTAGACCTATCTCCAAAGTATATGTAATGTGCATGTGTTCTGTTTAAAAAGAAAAAAAGACTTAAAAAATAAAAGTCTATTTATGCATGATTATTGTGGGTTTTTTGAGTCCAGGCTTGGGTTTGTGTGTTTCAGACTCCCTGAATTGAGTTTCTAACAGCACTCCAGTGACCTCAGGAACTACCAGCTCCAGAGCTCTGTTATCCACAGCTCCAGCTTTCGTTCATAGTAGTTCAGCAAAAAAATTGTCCTCAGAAAAAGAGCCTTCCTGCTGCGAGAAAGAGAAAAGTTCCCTTAGAAAAAGCTACAGCTACCTTCATCAGTCTTTTACTGAGATCTTGGCAGCAATGACTAAACAGTCACATAAAAGAAGAGGATATAATAGTCTGTCTGCATCTTGACAAATACTCAGGGGAAGATATTTTCAGGAGCTGAAATTGCAGTTCCTTGTACTTTTTTCTTACTCTTGATTGTTTTCTTGAAACAACAAAATCCACAGTAAGTTACCAGAATGAATCTGCCCAAAGCCCATTCTTGTTTTCCTGGAAGAGGATGATAATGGGAAAAAAAGAAAAAACAAAAGTATAGATTAAACCTTGTCCATACGTCATCTTATCTTCCAGCAGGCAGTGTTTGGAACGGACTTTTTGTTTTAAGTGTACTGCTAGAATTACCTGCCATGAATTTATCTAATCCTTTTTTGAACCCCTTTTCTATTTTCGTATTCAGACAGTTCAGTACTAATCAGTTTGACAAGCACAAAGAACTGACTTTCTGAGGTCTACATTTTTGTAACACATTTATTTCCGGACATATTCAAAATCATATATGCTCTAGCAGGTAGATCAAAACTGAACACTGCTGTAAAATATGGGCCCCCTCTTTCTTCCCATCCTCATGGAATCCTGCAAGAGATGGTCTCTTGTCCATCTCTTGTTAACTCAGCCAGAGAAAGTCACGGAGAAATGGTGAAAAGATTTGCTAAAGAGCCTTACTTATCTTCATTGTTCCCCTAAAGTTAATATCAAACCCTGTGTTAACATCTATCAGGTCATGATTTCAGTGAGACCAAGCTTGAAATGCTGTAGTGGGTAGGCCCAGCTGCCATAAGCACCATGCGGCCGCTCACTAACTCCTCCTTCCCCTTCTCCCCCCACGCCCAGCCGTGGTGGGATGGGGAGGAGAATCAGAAGAAGAAAAAAGGTAAAACCTGGTGGGTTAAGACAAGGACAGGGAAGGATCACTTACCAGTTATGGTCGCAGGCAAAACAGACTTGACTTGGGGAAAAAATAAATTTAATTTGTTACCAGTCACATCAGAGTGGGATAATGAGAAACAAACCCAAATCTTAATAATCTTTCCCACCCCTCCCTTCTTCTCGGGCTTAACTTCACCCCGATTCTCTCCCTGTCAGTGGCACAGGGGGATGGGTAATGGAGGTTGCGGTCAGTTCATCACACGTTATCTCTGCCACTCCTTCCTACTCAGGGTGGGAGGGCTCCTCACACTCTTCCTCTGCTCCAGCGTGGGGTCCTGCCCACGGGAGACAGTCCTCCACAAATGTTCTCCCGTGTGAGTCCCTCCCACGGGCTGCAGTTTTTTGCAAACTGCTCTGGTGTGGGTCTCTTTGGCAGGGTGCAGTCCCTCAGTCACAGGCTGTTCTAGCACGGACTTCCCACAGAGTCACAGCCTCCTTTGGGTGCAGCTACCTGCTCCCACGTGGGGTCCTCCAACGGGTGCAGGTGGATCTCTCCTCCACTGTTACCCTCCGTGGCTGCAGGGGCACAGGCTGCCCTCTCGCCACCGGCTGCAGGGGAATCTCTGCTCTGGTGCCTGGGGCATCTCCTCCCCCTCCTTTCTTCACAGGCAGTGGTGTCTGCAGAGTTGTTTCTCTCACATCCCACTCCTCTCTCTGCTGCTGGTCTGCAGCAGGTTTGGTTTTTTTTTCCCCGTCTTAAATATTTTGTCACAGAGGCACTCCCACTGTCACGCGACTCGGAGCCAGGGAAGCTTCTAGCAGCTTCTCACAGGAGCCACCCTTGTAGCTACCCCCTGCCGTGCTGCCAAAACCCTACCACACAACCCCAATACATACACCATTTGAGGTATGTATTAATGCAGTCAACAGACAGTGTGCTAAGGATAGTCTACCCTATTGTGTTTCCAAAGAATATGGCCTCTTAATGTCTTCCTTAAAACTCTGTCCTTTCCTGAGACTCAGGAAATTACTCAAAAACATTATAGTTGAACATGATGTCGAACACCTTGTCTGTTTTATATGCAAAAAGTCACTGCTTCAAGCCCAGAAACTTCAGCTTTCAAGAGCAATTTAGGATCAGGTTGTTTTCTGGTAGAATATCTTTGTCTGAAGAACAGAGAAATGGATAGCTCGGTACTGATGTCACTGTAGCTGAACAAACTTAACTTTGTTAGGATTAAGAATGAATTGCTTCGACTGGCAGAGCCCCGATAAATTAAGATGGAGCTCTAAAACACTTACAGAATTCCCCCGTTGCATGATGTAACAATGTTAATATGGAGAGGAATAAGGGTAAAGGAAGGAATTCTGACTGCTACCCTTTAGGGCAGCATTTTTTTTTTCCGCAAAAGATATGCATCTCCTGTAGTTTTCCTTCAGAAGTAAGAATTATGTGTAACAGAAAGCTCTAACAAATGTTTGAATCCTGCCATGTATTTAGTAAATAACTTGCCAGTTGATCATTCTGGCAGCTCCTACAGTAAAACGCTGCGACTGTGGCTAAGTACTCTACAGGAAAAAAAGTTTAATTCAGTGTCTTGTGTTTTCAGGTAGTTAGAAAGTAGCTTTTGCAAGAAAGATACTGCCTTTCAAATCCAAATATTAGTTTGAAAATGTCATTCTAACAGGGTGTTTGAGTATTAGGAATTAGAGGACAATTGCTCATTATAGCTGTTCTGATCTTGAAAGTAAATTAGAACATCTCAGCACAAGTTAATCACCCAAAAATATGAATCCTTTGCTTCCAATATTTGTGCATGTTCTAAATGTAGCAGTCTGCACTGTTCCTTCTTCTTGACTGGATGTCACTTTTGTCCTTGTCACAGAAGCTTGTAGATTAATCATCAGTTTTATTAGTGCTAGTGGCTTAGACACTTTGAATGTCAGGAAATACACAGATATGTTAGTAAAGATTCTTAAAATGCCTTAGTAAAGTAGCTTGTGATGCAGGCTGGCATATCTGGTACTGCAATAATTGAGAAAGAATATGCTTTTCACAGAGATGTAGCTTCTTTGGTTTGTTTTCTTGATTTGTGCTGAGAATACATAGTTTGTGTTTAAAAATAGATACGTTGTTATAAAATTTGACCCCAAGTGATCAAGAATGTGCTGTATTTCTTCACCAGCCAGAATCATTGCCTTTGTACAAGACTGAGTATTTGGTGATGGTAATGCGTTTCACAGTTACAGTCACTTTCTTCCCTTGTTTCAAATAGATATGGACTGAATTAAGATGCTTTATTCATGTATAATAGAATAATAGTTGGAGGACGTTGATGGGAAGTATTATCCTGTTAGCTCACTTTTGAAAAACATTTTTTGTTGTTGTTGGTTTTTTTTTTTTTTTTCCTCGCAGCCTTCTTTCTTCAATAACATATTCTCCCAAATCAGAACGTAAAACGCCTGAGCCTTTAATACCGGCAGACAGTGACAATGAAAAGGGGGAAAGGAATGGGAAGAAAGTCTGTTTCAGTGTGACAGGTGATGAACAAGAAGATTCTGGTCATGATACTGTCAGCAACAGGGATTCTTACAGGTAACTTTACTAGTAATATTTTTATTTGTCAACTGAATCAAACCTGTGGGTTTGTAGACTCTCAAGTGGCTATGAAGAATATCGGCATATAATGTTTCTGATATTTCTAACAGAGAAATATCTAGCATCAAGATGTGTTACAAGGTGTGTAAAATAAACTCTTTTATGAGTAGAGGTTAGCTATTAGATCTCAGTATCCCTAAGCTTTGTGGGATATCATAGCAAGAGCTGTAAAGCTTTACTTTAGATTACCTGTCTTACAAAAACCAGAAATAATTTCTGTTACTATGTTCCCCAACAACAAACTGAGTAACTGCCATGGAAAGCAACATGCCAGAGCCACCACTCTTGCTGATCTAAAGTAAAAAAAAAAGCTGTTTCTCAACATAGATGCCTTACTTTCCGTTCAAAATACTGTAGCGTGATCACATCTATAGAATTTGTAGTGCATCACGTTTACTGTGGATTAAAATACAGTTTTGAAAAGGAAGGAGTAATTATAGCAAGCATAGGTCTTATAAAGATTATCTTCCATTGCTTAGAGAGAATTGGTTAACTACATAATATAAAATCTAAATTAAAATTTTAGCTGCAAGTAAAATAAGGGTTCATTATTTGTTCATTATAATGGTTCATTATTATGCTCAGGAAGTAGAATCTCAGTAGGATCATCATTTTTCTACAGAACCCTGTGTTTCTGAGATCTCTTTCGTAAACTAATATTTGATTTCTGCAGTGTGGTAGATGGGAACTCTTTGTCACAGTAAAAACAGAAATATGCATATAAATTTGAACAGAAATAAAAATAGATTAATTTACATAGATTAATTCCATCTTGTTCTAACCATGGTGAACACACAAGCAAAGTGCTGTTCCAGATGAAGTGCATTTAGGGTTTTCTGCATGGCTATGATGTGTCAAACTGATTGTGCAGGAGCTGCTCCAGTGGCCTGCGCCTGTTCCAGTTGGGAAGTTCCTCAGTTGGTACTAGATTTGTATAAGAAGAAAGAAGATGGGATTTAGGAAACGAGTGTCTCTTTGTTTAGAATGTTTTCTTTATTCTGATTCCAGTCATTTAAAGTCCATTCTGGCTGTTTAGGAATGATAAAATCTAGGATTCTGTATGTAGAATAATCATAAAATCAGAGTTTAAAACAGTTGTTGGAGTGTTTTTTGTTTCTTTGCTTAAATAATTACATTAGGCAGTACTTAAAATCTCCAGATCCCATTATGCCACTGTGGATATTAGAACTAGTAGGCTAATGTCAGCTGCTAGAGTGCTCTCGTTTTGTGTTGTAGGGTTTCATTCTTACAATACAACAGAGTAAAAATGCAGAATGATAATAGCTAATACATCCAATCTGTTTCTCATTTTCCTGTGTTTTGTTTTCTCATGCTTTGCACAAACCAGTTTTAAATAACCTTCGTCTTCCCTTTGGAGACTTTAATGAGTGAATAGAGTTAGTTATAAAACGTTTCTTAATATCCAGCCAGAAATTCTTAATGCTCCTTGGGACTCTTCACCCTCAGTTAGGAACATGTTGTTACTGATGTATTTTTACCTACTTTAGTGGGTATGATTATAATTATATCACATTGCTTCATTTACAAGTTTTCCCCATGCATTTACCTGGTTGGCTACAGGTCCAAAACCTTAAGCAGGAAATGTTGGTCAGTATGCTAAAACTAGTAAAAGATCACTTCTGTATATACAAAAATAAAGAAAACAAGTAGAGACTGCATGGATACAGGTATAACTGTAGCATTATATATACAATATAGATATGCATATCTTGGTGACGGGCTACACCCAAATAATAAAACCAAAACTAGATCATTATATATAAATATCCTTTATGTACACTTCTACGTTATCTTATACACACTTGGGTTTTTAAGATTCCTACTGCTGGATAATTACTTAAGCATTTCCTGCATTGAAACTAAACTATCCTCATGTGGCTAAATGACTCTGAAGACTTTGAATTCAAGTTTATCTTAATGGGATTTTTATTACAAAGGCTATGTTTTACTCTGTTTATGCTGCAGAAGTAGGTGTGTTCTCCATCTATTTGCTGTACAGAACAATTTATTTTTGAGAGAAGAGAGCAGAAAAAACACATTTTCATCCCCAGATCTCCTGGTGTGGGTGATATTTTGTATGCATAAAAGTTTTCACTGAAGTCACAGATGTAAATGTCTACACAACTCTTAACAAAAATGGGAACATAAACTATATTTTGTCTGGCAGGGAAAAATAGTTTGCAATTTGAATTTTGGTGCTACTCAAATGGATCAAATCTCTTCTCACCACAGTATTTCATTATTTGTATTAGCTATGGACTAGGATTATGGAATATAAACATGGATTTACTAAAATATTTGAGGACACAGTTTCAAAAACTTGTCACTTGTGTAAGAAAAGCTGGTTGTTTTGCATTGAAGGTGTATATTATCATTCTGCAAGTAGTTGTTCACATGCAAGGTGAAGGGAGACAATCGAATCATGTATTTTGGCAATTTGGTCCTCTGAGTCCTGCCAGGATTGCAAATTATGCGATAGCCTAAGTATAGAGATCTTTATTGTTGGTAAAGAATTGTGCAGACCATCTCAACATTAAATTTAAGAGGGGAAAAGGGAAAGAATTCCCGTAACTTTGATTCTGAGCCTGTGTTAAAGGATATGACTTTATTTCTTTTTTTGTTTTGTGTTTTTTTCCAAGCGATTGCAACAGCAATAGGAACTCCATTGCCTCATTCACCAGCATTTGTAGCAGTCAGTGCAGTTCTTATTTTCACAGTGATGAAATGGATTCAGGTATGTTTAGAAAATTCAGCTATGAATCTGTCATCTGTTCCTTTTATTCAGTTTTATTCTTTTCATTTGCCTGTCAGTTTTGTTGGTTTTGTTTATAAGAATTGCATCTTCCTTGGTAATTGTGGTGGGTTAGCGCTTAACCCACGACAGAATTGTATCGTTTTGTTTCTGCCTGACTAGTGCTGCACTTAAGAGTCTTGTGAAAGAGAGACAACATTCCAGCATCTCTGTGAATAGACCGAATTAGTTAGAGCTCTTAGAGTCGCTGCTTTTAACCACTTTCATGCCTTGACCTTGACAGTGCATTATGTTGCACAGAGTAAGGAGCATTTTAGATGAGTGCGGAATGCTCTCCCAGCCTGCGTCAGCACCCGGACTGCAGGATATGGCTGTGTATGTTTGTAGGAAGGAATATGAGAGAAGCACATTATTGTTTATGCCATGACAAATTATATTTAAATAATTGCAGCTGCTAATAGGAATGTGATGGGATTTAACTGCATGGAGTACAAGGTTATATACTCAGAGGCTAATAGTAAAAAATATTTGCTCTAAGATGGGAGTTTATAATTTGGGAATGATTTAGAAAAAGAAAGAACTGGGCACATTAGTTGAATATGAGCCACCAATGAGACTTGGCCACAGAGAAGGCAAATTTTATTGCTGGTTGTACTAGGAGAGGTATTTTGAGTTGGGACAGGAAAGTATTGATGACATTATGCAAGGTATCTGAAATGTCTTGTGAATAACGCAATTCTGGGCAGCTACTGTCCAGAAATGATACATACTTAGAGACCTGAGCAGATACAGAGGAAAGGCTGAAGGACATAAAGAATTGTTAATAGAAGAGGAGACCTAGGGTATGTATCTTATAAATGAGGTGATACAAACTTGTGCAGCATCAAGCTGAAGTATCAACAGAGGTGCCTAAAAGAATATGTCTGTGCTAGCCAAGTGCAGATACAGTGTTCGAGTTGGTTGCTGCTCAGCAAAACTCCCACTCTCCTGTTGACTTAATTTTCTTCTAGTTCCAAAGCTAACCTGGTTAACTCCAGATCAGGGCTCTTTGGCACCATGCTCCGTCTGTTGCAATTAAAATCCTGTGAAGGGTTATAACTACTGGCTGTAAGGACACCTAAAAGAGCTTAAAAAAAAAAAAAAAGGAGAGAAAAGTGCTACTTAAGTGTTTCACTGACATAAGAAAAATGAGTCTAGTTTGGCCATGAATAAATTTGGATTATAAATTATCAGCTGGCTACTTCTTATCTGTCACTGCAATAGCAAGGAGGATGAACAGTTTTAAGCTCAATTTTTCACAGCTTTTGAGAGGTCCATTTCATCACCCGTTGTCTGAGAGAGTGAGTGTCTGAGGGCAACGACCGAAGAGAGTCTTTCTCCATTGTACTCTTAGGAAATTATATGGTATGTGATTCTAAAAGCTTCTCGTCAAACACAGGATTTGGATGCTGTATTTTTGTTGAATTACTAAAATATCAGCACCACTTAATTAGTAAGAACATTAAGGTTGTGAATTGTCTGTAGAGACCTTATAAAAAAATGTATGGTCAATGCATTTCAGTGACTTTGTGGTCTGCTGTATTAGGTTCACACTGCTTATACATCTAGTCTGGTGTTTAGGATGTTCTCCAGCATAGAAGAATTGTGTGTTCTGGTCACAGAATGGTTGAGGTTTGAAGGGACCTCTTGAGATCATCGAGTCCAGTCCCCTGCTTGGGCAGGGTCATCTAGAGCAGATTGTCCAGGACCACGTCCAGTTGGGTTTTGAATATGGTAATTTCTCTAAGAGCTATTTCTGTGTTGTCGAGTGACTACTAAAGGCAAAACATGCAGGGAGAGCTGTTACTATAATCCTGAAAGCCTAAGCATCAGTCTGTGCACAAAGCAGATTATCTAAACTACAGAGATTTTGGAAAATATGCTGAAACTTCTAAACAATTTTTCATTTAAAAATATTTTTCAGGCGATGAGCTTCCCATAAGTGTTCGAATCTCCCATGATAAACAGGACAAGCTCCATAGCTGCTTGGAGCATCTTTTTGGTCAAGTACGGGATTACTTTTCTTGGCTTTGATATTAATGTCCGTGTTTGAGCTAAGATATCTTCAGCAAATACTTCTTTTTCTTTTTTACTTTTGCTTTCCAATGTTTACTGGGATGGTATGTATTTGCTCATTCTCCTTCAGTTTTCTGTAAATAGTTCAAAACTGTGAATTAAACAGGTCATTAGATTTAGTCTAACATTCCCTAGCATGTTACTAGAACCATTAGGTAAGAAAGAATCCAAAGCTGCTTTTCTGTAGTCCATATTTCTTAAAGAAAGAATTTCTGATTGTTGCTGTAAAAAAACCATCTTTCTCACAGAACCTTGATCCCAACAGGTCGATTCAATTGTCAGTCTTCTGAAAGGACCAGCTGTGATGAGGGCCTTTGAGCAGACAAAATACTTCACACCAGGACGAGGCCTCCAAGGTAACATTTAATTGTCTCTATGAGAACCAAAAGGCAGTTTGAAGAGTACATGGATATGGCTGTCTGGTCCTTGAGCTGGGTGTTAAAGAACTGGCATTGCTTAACCTTGGTGTATTCTGCAATAATTGTGTAAATTCATGTTAAGTAGATCTTATTCTTAGTTAAAAACTGACTTACACTTTTACTGCACAACATAAGAAAGAATTTCAGGTTTGTTGGAAGGTCAGCTTTAAATTGTAGACTCTGAACTGGCTATAGAATTGTGGAGGTTTTTGAAGCAAGAAACGGGGTTTTTTTATATTGCAGGTGTTTTTATCACATTTTTGTCTCAACTACTGAAGCTGTTTCTGATCTATTTCATTACTAATGCCAGATGTTTATTATTTTTGTAGATATATTATTTGTGAAGTTGATTTATACATAATTTGCAAATGTAAATTTATAGTCACAGTAATATTTATGCCAAATATATGCTTATATAAGTATTATTAATTACTTTTTAAAAATCCTGTATGTAATTTCAGATACTCTGTTAACACTCACATAGTTGCTTAAATGCATAAATAAGTATCTGGTGGTAGCCATGAGATTGTGATGCAAAGGGCTTCTTTAAGTGAACCAAGGTGTTTTTTTTAAAAAAAGAAAAAAGAAAAGAAAAAACCTCAATGGGAGATTGAATGTTGTATTAATATTTATAGTAGGTTGGGTTATGATTTTATTGATCTAGCATATGTCTTTTGGCAAAGAAAACTAATCTGGTTTTACAAAGCCTGAAGTACTTCTCTCTCACTGAATTTGCATGGAAGACCACATAACCTCCTCTTTTTCTTTTCTGTTTTTTTTTGTTTTGTTTTGTTTTGTTTCCTGTTTTGAGACGAAGGTACTGAGGACCAATTTAGAGCATTTCAGCTCTCTTGTGTTTCTCACTGTTTTATATTGAGTATCTGTCAGGCTCACACAACAAAATGTTATCCCTTCAGTGGTATAATAAAAGTTCAGTTTGATACAATATATGGACAAGTCAGATGTTTTATTCTTGATTTATTAATGAATTGTACAAGGAGCACTTCAATGATTTGAAATATAGACTAGGTTAAGCAAAGTAAATTTTTTTTAGGTTTAATTTTCTGATTGAATTAATTTTCCCTTGAAAAATTCCAGGGTCCTGCTTCCTCCATGGAGACAGCCACCTTCTGTCTTATGTACCTGGTTCAGAAATAATCGTGTTTGGGAATGCTGCTTTCTCTCTCCTTTGTCTGAGTAGGGAGCTTAGATAACTGTTAGACCTGTCACCCTAGCTTTAACTAGAGTTAAATATGTTCACACCTCCTTGAGCTGTGAAAAATTTAGGAAGAAATAAAGTGGCTTTTCTCAGGATGTTTAAAAGCAGAAGAATATTATCTTTGTCCTTGCTTAGAATTTCAGCAGAAAATGGAACCGAAGCTTAACTGTCCAAAGAGGCTACGACTCCATATCAAGCAAGACCCTTGGAATCTCCCCAGCAGCGTCCGGAGTCTTGCCCAGAATATCAGAAAATTCGTTGAAGGTTAGTAAGAACAATATGAGCATAAATAAACACTTTGTTACTGATAGAGAGCCAAGGGAAGGGAAGGAGAAAGACAAAACTGCTTGATGTTGCTGCTAGGCAAGGTTTGATGAACACAGTCTGTGGGAAATGCCTGAATTTCAGGACGTTTTTGTGTTCTTAGTAACAAGGTTAGTGGAGTATATCTCAGCTGTCTCATGCTCACCCTACTGGCTTCAGATACTGAAGAGAAAATCGTCTCTTCTGACGAGAGAAAACAAATGAACCATGTGTTGCATGTCAGTTGCTGCTGGAGTCCAGTGGGCTTCACTAATTTGTCACAGAACTTCGTGGGACTGATAACACCAAAATGGAGCTTTTCTTGAAATTAAACTCCCTTTTTTCTTCTGTCTTAATGAAGACTTTGCAGGACAACTTTTATCCTGTATCTTTCTCTTACCCGTCATTGATCTGGAATCGTTATCCCTCTAAAATCATGCTCCCTCTTCTGCCATGAAGCCAAACGTCTTCCACTGGTTCTCACTTACTCACTCCATCACAACTGATCCTGTCACTCCTCCTCCTCCACCTTCCTCCCACCACTGTCTAAAAGTTACCTTAGTACGCTACTCCTCTTTACCACCAAGTGACAAGGTGAGCTGAACTTTTCTGCTCTGTCCCCTGGCTTCATAAGAAATTAACTGGGATTTCCTCTCTACAAAATCTTGCCTATAGCTTCTGCTTTTCTTCCTGTGCTGTTTGATAGAGAAACAGAAATAATGAGAAAAAATATTTTTATAAAACTACTTACAGTAGGAGACTACATGGGAACAAAAACTTACATTAGAGCTAGCTTTAATTGATTTGTGTATGTGTTTAGCTTCTTTTGTTTTGCTGGCTAGTTTCCATGGTGTCCTGTAAAGAAACTGCTAAATTTCAGATCACTGTAAAATAACTTTGTGATAAGTGTTATTAAGATAAACCTCCAAAACCCAACCGGCCAAACCGAACAAACTCCTTCTCCTCTGAATTCTGATATTTCTCTTTTCAGATACAATGATATTTTCAGACTCTGGGTTAGAAAATTATAAAAGTATCCACAAAAATATCTCCTGTTTTTGGAGTCAATCACAGTGAGTTGACTCTCCAACACTAATACTTCTTTTAGTTTAATGGTGGCTGTCGATGACTGAAAAATGAGTAAATATTTTTGGATCCTTTTTTCTACAGGTCTGTCTTCAGCGTAAACCAGATTACATTCAAGTATTAATCATGGTTTCTTCCACAAATCAAGAGGAATGGAAATGTGTCTTTAACAGTCCTTCATTGCCCCCCCCTTCTGAAGCCAAGCCTAAACAGACCATTTTCATTTAACTTGTTTGCCCATAAATAGAATTAATAGATTTAATCCATTTCAACATTAGTCATATACCTTCAATATTGAGCTGAGGTTGTTCAGATAAATGTGGTTTTAAATCTACCACAAAATTTTCTGGGAGAGTTCAACAAGGTCCAAATGTCTTGCTGCCTCTCTATAATACAGAACTCTTTTTACAATATTACTGGAATGTAATGGTGATATTTATCAGAAGCAATCTTGTTGTTTACAGAACAATAAAATTTGCCATTTTCTGGTGTTTTAGAAATTAGGATTAAAAAAGGTTTTCTTTGGTAATAAGTTTATAGTAACTATATTGCAACTGCCGTGCTTGTGAATGGTGCACGGTTCAGAGCGCTAAATAGTAAAAGGCACTATTCTTGTGCTGTTCAAGGAGAGCACACACTCTGTCTTACATTCTCTCATCATTGTGTCTCAGAAGTCTGCCAATTTTAAAAGTTCTTGGCTCTCCCTTTCCATCCATGGCATCTGAGCTTTTGTTAGTGACTTCCAGCAACTGGCTTCTGTGCCATCTTCTTATGTAAATATATGTTCTGTATGTAAAATTATCACGTTACATTGTCTATTCACTATCTTTCTATCACTATCACATCTTTCTATTCTCTTGTAGTTTTTTTCTTTAATTTTATTTCTGTTCCACCACCCCACTCCTCCAAACTGTTGTCACTAATACTTGTTCCTGAGAAGTACTCTGAAGAATCATGATCCACATCTTTGTCATAGTTTTGATTTGCCTGTGGGACCAAGGAGTTGTTGTGTTGTAAAGGATACCTGAAAGCCCAGGATCTTGTGGCTTCTCTGGGACAAATAGCATGAAGGAGAAATAGGAGAATGGAAGTGACTAATTGCTTCTCAAGCTTCTCATGCTCTTTCTAAGGCGTGTCTGGACAGGTATATGCAATTCAGTGTTGAAAAGAGTCACGGCAGAAATGTGCCCCTCCGGCAGTTTTGGGAGACTGCTGTGATTTAGACAGGCTTAGGGCTGTATAAATTAAACTTGAGACACAACCAGCAGCTGGATCTAACTGAAATCAGATGAGCACAAAGCAGGTGTAAAAATGCTTTAGCACTTAAATTTTCCCTTCATATCTTCATTTCTTGTTTTCTCCTTTCTTGCATTATGCATTGTGTTCACAAATGGTCAGGATACCTAGAACTGCTAGTACTGTTCTGAGCTATTTCTGGATGAAAACCTCACACATAGTATGGTGATTTACCTCCCCGTTTTCCCTCTTTTTCACCCGATTCAGAAAAAAAGAAAAGATGTCCTCTAATTTGACTGTTTGGTTGGGCTTATGAGAACAAGTTGAACAAAGTCTTGGGATTTTGGAAGAATCTTTATGTTTGTTTATAAGTGAAAGACAATATTTTAATAACATAAGAAGTTGGAGTTAAGCTAGTATAAAATGAAAAACTGCAAATGCATTGTTATGTTGGTGAAAACACTTTAAGCATGACCTCAATATATTTTCTTTTTTCTTTAAGAGGTGAAGGCACGAATACTCTTGGCACTGCTTGAGTATACAGGTAATTTTGCTTCTTTGAGGAGTGGGTAATGTCAATGTGGATGGTTTGAGTTTTTTTTGCTTTTGGACAGAATACTATGTTTAGAGGAAGGGCGAAAATCTCAGATACGATTTACCTCTCTTTACAGTGAGCATTCCTGAAGGACATAACAATTCCAAAGACATTTCTAACAAACACAGCGCTTTTTTTTTTTTAATGGAAAATACCTTCTCTGGTCGTTTGCTTTGGATCTTGGCAGATGAAGTAACTGTTAAATCACTGAGCTTGTGCACAGTACTTCTGCTGTCTTTCTTCTTTTGGGCTTTTTCCTATTTGCCATCTTTTTTATTTTCTCTTCATTTCCATCTGTTTCCAGACTTACCTTACTATTCTAACCCATTCCTTTCCCTTTATCTTTTTTTTTAGAGAATACCTTTTTATAAGTCCCTCCTTTTTGGAAGGGGTCTGATTTTTCTGTGTGTTATTCGATCATCATTCCATAGAGTGTACAGCTTCAAAAGCACAGAACAGGCATGTGTGTCTGCAAAATACATGTCAGTAAATCAAAACTTAGAAAATAATACTTACGGCATTAGATTCTCTACAGTTCATAGGTGCATTAGTGTTAAGTAAGCAGTCACATTTGACTGTAAAAGCTGATTATTTTAACCATCTTGCAGCACTGTATGAATTTATTATTTTTTCATTATTTTGTTGTTGTAGAATAGTTTGGTTTGTAAGGTACCTTGAAGATACCTAGTTCCAACCCCCCTGCCATGAGCAGGGACACCTCCCACTAGACCAGGTTGCTCAGAGCCTCATCCAGCCTGGCCTTGAACACCTCCAGAGATGGGGCATCCACAGCTTCTCTGGGCAACCTGTTCCAGTGCCTCACTGCCCTTATCATAAAAAAAATTCTTCTTTGTATCTAGTCTGAATCTACTCTCTTTTGGTTACCCTTTGTGCTATCTCTACAGTCTCTGCTAAAACCTTTGTCCCCATCTTATAAGCTCACTTTGAGTACTGAAAGGGCAAAATAAGGTCTCCCCAGAACCTGCTCTTCTCCAGGCTGAACAACCCCAACTCTCACAGCCTTTTTTCACAGGACAGGTGTTCCATCCCTCTGATCATTTTTGTGGCCCTCCTCTGGACCTGCTCCAGCAGGTGCTTATGTTCTGCTATGCTTCATGGTTCTTATGTTGGCGACTCCAGAGCTGAACACAGCACTCCAGGTGGGATCTCACGAGAGCGGAGCAGAGGGGGAGAATCACCTCCCTTGATCTGCTGGTCACATTGCTTTTGGCGCAGCCCAGGCCACTCCTGGGGGCTGCTCTCAATCCATTCTCCTCCCAGCTTGTATTTGTGCTTGGGATTGCCCCAGCCCATGTGCAGGACCTTGCTCTTGGCCTTATTGAACTTCATGAGGTTTGCATTGGCCCACCTCTCAAGCCTGTCTAGGTCCCTCTGGATGACATCCCTTCCCTCCATCGTGTCCACCACACCACACAGCTTGGTGTCATCGGCAAACTTGCTGAGGGTGCACTCGATCCCACTGTCCATGTCCCCAACAAAGATGTTAAACAACACCGGTCCCAGTACTGATCTCTGAGGAACACCACTCATCACTGGTCTCCACTTGGACATCGAGCCATTGACTGCAATTCTTTGAGTGTGACCATCCAGCCAATTCCTTATCCACCGAGTAGTCCGTCCATCAAATCCTACACAACAGCAGTTTTATGAAGGGGAATATAAAATTTCTTTGTTGTCAAATTTCTTCCAAATATAATAAAAGTTTTTTTTTAGTAATTCCTCAGGTGTTTTAAAATAAGAAGTGACCTGAGAAAATACCCCAGACTTGATCTTTTTAAAAACAGTTTTCCCTATTTACATGGTTTCGTAAGTTTGTAAATTCTGTAGTTTATTTTGTATAAAAATATTTTTGTAAAAAGAACCCAAGGTGCTCTTATATGCAGTATCTGATGTTCAAGTAGTATTAGATGAGATTTGGAAATGAGGTGCTGAAGATAAAAGAGGGCTGCTTCAGAAGCAGGCAGTACAGAGGAAGGCACTGAAAATCAGCTGCTGTCAGACAAACAGATAAAATTGAGCAAGGCGAGGTGACAGAATGTGTGTTGGGCTCAAATCCCTGAGCACTGCTGTGACGTTGGAGGGTTTTTGACCATGGAGAAGCCAGTGGGATGTCAGAAGCTGGAGGTGGGTAGCGTTTTTAAAGAGGAAAATTCTGTTCGTACCAGATTCTGCACAACTTGAGAGACTGGAGAGAGAGAGAGAGAGGTTAATTTTAATAATCAAAATAAAAAGCACTGAGTCATAGTGCAGAAGAAGTAGTGATTAGACCATTTATGGAAAACATTCCTGAGGTCCTGACCGGCTGGCAGATGGATTGAAAATGATAGCAAAAGTGTGGTCAGTATTATCAATAGTCGTGGAAAAGATTGAAGGAGGTCTCAGAAGGAAAATGGGAGTCCAAGGAAAGCATATTTTTAAAGTTAGTATTAATTTTGTGAGTACAGAATTATTTCTACTGACTTCTCTAGTCATTTAAAGTCTTGCCAGCTCCATAGTAAAAGTGGAAAAGGAGCTAAGCCTCTTAAAGGTAGAGAAATCTAAAAGTGAGGACAAAGATTTTAGGTTTTGGAAAGACCTTGAGATCACCTAATCTTCTTCTCTTGCTCTGGGAAAGATTAAATCTACCTATATCATTTGTGATTGATGTTTGCTTAGCAGCTCATAATGATAAAAATACTTGAAGACCTTCAGAAAAGAGAAGAAGAAAGCACTGAATATTTATCACCATAGTTTTGTGCTTTATTGAGAACATGTTTCCCTTTCTAACTCTTTTGACCTTTAGCTAATCTAATGCCTGTGCTCTCCAGAATGAATTGGTAGGTTAGCTAGTCCGTGATTTAAATCAGCTGCTAATGGTTCCATAGACTTCTACCTAGGGACTTGTCCTGGAGTTTCCTGGCACCATAAATCTCTGCTGCTTCCTGGATATGCAGTGCTGCTCTGTGCTTATGTGATAGATTTCATATTCATATATATATTGTATGGAAACACTCCTGTAGGCACTGTCTGCAGTTTACAGCAGGCAGTCTTCATCTGCCGTACCCAGCTGGTAGCTGTGGAGTGGACCAGATGATGCAGTTGTATTAAGAGCTTCTGACTATCCTTACTTTCCTGTGGAAAGTAATTGTTTCTGTGCTGAGCTGGTTCTCACATTGCAGCAAAGAGATCTGACTCGCATCTGTCACCTTGTAACATCAAAAGTACATAGAATTGATGGCATGTACATTAAAATCTACAAGATAAACTTACATTGTTTATGAAGAGCTACTTTAAATTCAATATTTTAAATACATTTCTATATAATTTTATAATTATACAATAATCATTTCATGTGGAAGATGACATTTTTTGTTGCAGAGTGCTATTTACTGTAAATAACATTAGGCTGTAAACTTGTAATTTACTTTGCATTAAAATTACTCAGTTTTTAGACAAAGAAAAAAATTCCAGCCCAGTTCCTTTGCTGTTAATTAATCTCCTGATCCATTTTTGCTTTTCCTCTTTTGGCTTTTACCCATCACAGATAGCGAGATACAACTAAGGCGAGACATGGTCTTCTGTCAGAGCCTAGTGGCCACAGTCTGCGCTTTTTCAGAGCAACTGATGGTGGCCTTAAATCAGATGTTTGACAACAACAAAGAGTATGAAATGGAGACGCCGGAGGCCAGCAGGAGGTGGTTGGAACAGATAGCCAGTGCGGGTCTTCTCCTTCATTTCCAGTCCCTGCTCTCACCGAACCTGGTAAGACTCCTTATGTGGCATGCTTGGTCATAGCCCATGTTTGTTCCCGGAACAAATTAAACAAAGTTTTAGTTATAAGTGTGATTTTTCTGTGTCCTTTGTGCTTAGCTTGTGTCCTTTGTGCTTAGCTTGTTACTTAATTGGCTGCTGTTTCAAAAGTTTGTGATTTAGATGATTACAGATATGGGAAATGTTTGTGATATAGGAAATATGTTTTCTAGAAAGACAGTGGTATGTTTGAGTTAGCAGATACTGAATTTACCCTTGACTCCCCACCGCTATTGTAGTTGTTCCCTAGGAGTGAATGTTATTAGGTAATAACCAGAACTTCAGTTTGCAATAAGCAGCAGTGCAAGATAAATAGAATACCTGGTTTGGATAATTTTATCACTCCCTCCCCCAAAAAACAACAGGTCTGTAGCAGTTGAAGGACTAGACATGCTTCTGTTTTGTTCCTGTCATAGGGCACATCCTCATAGCCTGTCAGGGTAATTGGAAATCTGCTGTTACTTCACAAGGCTTGGCTTAAAGAAACAATTGAAAAAGAGACGTGGCTTTGTAGTCCTCTAATCCTCATTTATCTAAAGTGCTTCTTGAGCTTTTTAAGCTGCTTCTCACACTAGACCGTTTCCTGTGAACCAGAAGCACTGTGAAACAGTCTGTGAGGTCTGCTCTGCGGCAGTCTTCTCAGCTTCTGGAGCTGCTCACTGGAAATAACTGATTTGGTACATCCTACTGTATAAAAGTCCACGCAAATAACAGATGATGTTCCTCATATCAGAGGTCTTCTTTCCTTGCCTTGTCTGTCTCAGCAGCAAATTGCTGACAAATTGACCTGATAAACTTTAGAAGCATAAGAGATCGATAAAAATAAAGGTATTTCTAAATCACAGTCATAAAGTATTAGTCTACCATATTGTTGAAGAGCATTGACTTAAGCCAGCGTGAGCAGCTACATCCCAGGTAGTTTACGTGCCTGTGTGGGCTTGCATGGGACAGCGTATGTCATGATGAGATGTGCAGCTTAAAAGTAGATAAAGTCAGTGCCTGAGAGAAACAGGAGGGCTGTTTATCCACATTAGGAGTTATGTGAAGAAAGCATGGTCAGGGCAGCTTGGGCTCGTGTCTTGAGTCTTGGATGCGTTTTAGCACCCAGTAGCACCAACATGTCCTGGTGCTGCTGGAGTCCTCAGAGTTCAAGAGTAAATTAAATTGGTGCCTGTCTTGTATTTTCCCACGTGCTTAGTTGTCATGTTATCATGAAATGACTGTTGTCTTTACAGCACTGAATGCGTTGGTTTTTTTTCATTCAAGATGGCTACTTAGCTATTTTCACATAATCAGGTACCAGCAGTATGCACTGTTGAAAATAAAATTAAATTTTGTCTCTTCTGTCTAACTGTTCTTAACCAAGGGAAAAGTAAAGGCAACCTATTCACTACCTTCTCAGCACTATTTTGCTTACAAATGGTCCGTATTATTTTAAACAAGGGTATTTGAAGGAAATTACACTCATTATGGCCAGAGTTCAGTGAAGAACGAGCAGCTGAGCAAAGATTTCCCATGTCACTGAATGATTTTCAGACTATTCTGCTCATAAAACTGCTCTGTACATAGAGACTCCATAAATTGAACCAGGAGACAAAATATTTCTAGTAGCTTTGCTTTTTCAGAAATACAAGGGGTATTGTTATTTCACTATTTAGATAAGGGAAATCATGTGGGTTTTCTTTTTTCCTTCCTATAGGCAGTAAGATATAGTTTATTCACATTTTATAGGCAACCAATTTGTTATTCCTTGCCTTCTTACTGTTTCAGTTCTTAGAGGAGAAAAAAATGCGTGCCTCAGGTTTCAATTTGATCTTTCTAGCTTAAGGTGCTAGGGGAGGTTTGTATAAAGAATGGAATTACTTGTATTGATTTCTGCTGTAATTGCTCTGCATATTTAACTCAAGATAACCATACTTATAGATGACTAGTTGCCTTTTTAAAAGTTCAGTAAAGTGTCCTGAGAAGTTAGTAATTTACTTCCTGAAGCTTTTTTTGGTAAATTAGTCTGGATCTCTTTAGCTATCTCTTTAGCTCAGGAGTACACAGTGAGCCATATGTGCAAATCACAATACTGGCATATCTGCATACTTGATTTGCATCTAGAGTTTTGTAGGTGAAGGTGCAAATCACCCTAAGCTGTACTCCTTCTGAGCTACTGGTTTAATTATTGGTGCTTAGAGTGGACACAATGAACTCTCATCTGTTTATAAATGAAATGCTAAAGTCATGCCATTTTTTAAAGAAAATTGCTAAAAAGAAGAACTTGTTTTTCACATTTCCCCTCTGCTAATTTACAAACTAGACCTGGTGTCAAGACAAGCTGTTGAAGTCTGGTATCTTACATAAATAATAATTGCAGTATTGTTGGATTAAAAGCCGTGAGAAGTAATGGTAGCTATAAATTATCTATTAATTTACTATGTGAAATGATAACATTTATTTTAATAATCTTGGACTAGTCATAAAAGGGAAAGTGCCAATAGAAACAAAGATATTTACATTATCTAGGAGTTAATTAGGTTATACACTGCATCAGTGAAATGTTGTGCACCATTCTGTAGTTATTTTTTTAATGTCTTGCTCTCATATTATTTCTGGTAGGGAAAACATCTGGCTGAAATTACCATTTCACTTTTTCTTTTGCCTTTTTTAGGCTGATGAGCAAGCCATGCTAGAAGATACATTGGTTGCACTGTTTGACTTGGAAAAAGTTACTTTTTACTTCAGGCAATCGGAGCCAGAACCACTAGTTGCAAGTGAGTAATTATAATTAATATCTGGGTTTTACTGTTCTGAAACATTTTCTGTATTTGTAACATTTTTCTCTCCTAGAACATCACCTCCTACTGGGAGTGTTATATAACTTGTGATTATGGAGAATTAGTAGATCTGTAACCCTCCTAATATTTGTAGATTTCCTAAAATACAGCTAACATCAATGACAATGCAGGATATTATCTGTCAACATCAGTAATCCTGGGGGGAAAAGTGTTTGCTTAACTGAATTTTCCATTGTGAGAATGTGACTGCAACAGGAAAGTTCCTGGAAGATCTAGTTGGTATTGAAGAGTCATGTATAAAATAAACTTGAAGGTCTGAATAGAGAAATGCAAGTGAGATGAGATGGAGAAGCATTAAAAAACATTTCATCTTATCATCTGAAAGACACAGTAGATCTTGAGAGAGTTCCTTTAAATGATACAGCAAACACTATTGGGATAGCTTGAAATTGTGCAAGAAAATTTCTGAGACCTGCCAGTGCAGACGGTCAGGGTCCTGAACCCTTCCTCTAGTACTCACCAGACTTGCGGGAAGGGATTATCTTCACAGTCTGCTGTTTATACCCTTCACTCATTTTCTGCCACTCCTTTATTAATGTTTTCAGCCAGCAGAAATTTTCCTGCAGTGAACTTTGTATAGTGAGCAAAAAGCCCTCATTTCTTCCTAAGTCTCACAACTCCCTTGGGAAGGGAGGAAAGCATGTCTGCTTCACATCAAGCCTTTCTAAAACAATTCCCTTGCTGGATCAAGACCACACATGAGACAACTCCTGCAGTAACCAAAAACAGAAGACACAGAGTTCCTCCACAAAACTACTAGTGAGGGGTTGCCTGTGCTCTGAAGAATTCGGTAATGCAGGGCTGATAGTCAGGTATCCTATATAAGACCGTTTTTATTTCTGTATAATTCAAGTAAGGACCTTGTTTGGAGTGTTTGTTTTAAAAAAATGCCCTACCAGGCCAGATAACAACATGGAACTGGAGTTACAGGAGGGATTCCTGATGGGGAGTTAAGCCTATGCGTGTGTCATGAATTGTTTATGTTGCTGTATCTTCCAACTGAGGTGTCTGTGCTAAAACAAAGATAAATGGAGAGTCCCTGTGTTCTAGGATTGCAATAAACTCTATATTTCCGTTTGGTTTAAGTCCTGCCATCACAGTCATCCTGACAGTCATCTTGACTGTGGTTACAGAAGACAAGGAACTGGCAAATCTGTGTTTTTTCTGTTTATGATTCTGTATAATTAATGAAAAAGTCTTTTTCTTATTACCAAAAATAGTGGAAAATGTTCCTTTGAAATATTTTCCATTTAGATATAGATAATTTATGCACGCAGTGTAAAAACAACATAATAGTATTATTAGATTATTAATAACTAAATTTTATTGTTACTGTTTTCATCTTGGAGCCTTATTCATGGAAACTTAAAAAGAAAATACACATAAAACTCAAATTGAATTAACTTCTGACTTCCTCTGAGAGATTTAGCTGAATGGAAAATTTTAACCAACTTTTGATAATGGTCATCGCATGTTAATCAGCTGGCATAACTCAAAAATATGTTGGGGAATCACTGTAACTGCAAAATGATACTGCTAGTTGCACTGAACTTGACACCAATTGATGTATTATGATATGTAGCTTGTCAAAGTGTACTTACAGTTTTATATGTTCTACCATAATACATTTGTTTTCTCAGTTGAGTCCCGACTTTAATAGTAACTAAATGAATATGCTGGTAGCTATTGTATATTTATTTGTGCTCTATCCCACACAAATCTGAGGAGGTGCTGACTCTGTATATCACACAGACCTTATGTGTGATATATATCACACCTGAGCAAGGCATATGAAATGTGGATGAAACTATCCTTCCAGTGATTTCAAACTATGTGCTGTACGTAGACGTTTCTCCAGACTCACAGGGAATATAAGGAGGGTGTTGACAACTACATTCTTTGCTTAGTATTTTTGCTGTCATTGACAGGCTGGCAAGGATGACAGTCACTGCTTTTCTGTTTATCTGCTCTCTGAAAGAGGGTAGGCCAAAAGTGGCCATGGCAACACTGACTATAGTGTAAACTACTGCATGTATTAGTTTTGTGTCTGCAGTGATTTTTATCTAACTGTACAAATTTTGAGCGCAACAGTGTCTGGGAAAGGACATGCCATTGCTTTTAATGAAACAGTAACAATGACTGTATTCTTAGATGTACCAATCACATACCAAGCAGAAGGAAGCCGGCAAACGCTGAAGGTTTACTTCTACCTTGACAGTTACCATTTTGAACAGCTTCCTCAAAGGCTGAAGAATGGAGGCGGATTTAAAATCCATCCAGTACTTTTTTCACAAGGTAACTTGAGTTTTAATGTTTTCCCCCAATTCTTTCATATAGTATTTAACTCTTTCGTATAGTATTTAACTTCCTCTGATTTAAATACTTTGTAATGATAAGGGCATAAAGCTTATTTTTAAATATGTTGTTTAATTTGGACATTTATTGAGAATTGTGAATTAAAATGTGAATTAAAGCAACACTGAGATTTGTGAGAAAAAATAGAGGTATGGGTGTACATTTCTAAGTTGATAGCTATTATGATTTCAACTCCAAAAAAATAATGTTCTTTCATCAATATTGTTTTGTTCTTTGTAGACATTAGTGGACAATATTCAGACCATGAAACTTGCTTTTAAAAGGGTTTTACATTCCAAATGCTATTGTAATCTTTTCCTGTTACTTCAAATTTAAGGAGTAAATTGTTGTCCCCTGAGAATTCTCTCTCTTTAAAATGTTATGAAGACTTAAATAACATTTTCAGGCTTCTGTAGTTATGACACTGCAAACAGTACAGAAGTGATGAATGGTGGTGCTGATGCTTAGACTGTTCATAAATTGCAGGCAGCCTGCATTAGCTGCAGTGTCCTTACCATCATCAGGAGCGTGGAGCTTGATTCACTGAAATGGTTAATGCAGGTGCTGATTGCCTTGAATCGCCTTTGATTTTAGAGGGAGCTGAAAGTACTCTGTACCTTGCGAAAGGCTTCCAGGGTCTATGTGGAATAGTCAGGCATAGAAATGAAGGTTTCGAGGAGGGTTTGGTCTCTGATAGATAAGGAGGATGTAAAAGGAAATAGCAAGCAGTAAGATACATGAAGAAATAGCTGAATTTATAGTAATCTTAAAACACACAGTTTTTAAAAAATAAGATCTCTGAAGTCTGATTTTAAAAAAAAGTAATAAAGACAGACTTCAGTGGATTTCTTTTGAACAGATTTATTTAAATCATAGGGGAAAATGAGAACACTGAGCAGGAGACACATTTCAGTAGAACAGACAAAAAGGCACATGAAAGAGACCAGAAAATACCTTGGTTCAGTTGAAATCCTGGAAATACTTTCTTAAAATTTTATTTGGGAGGGGACTCAGTGTGCTACAGAGTTTAGTTTGTGGAATTTTTTCCCTTTCTGTTTCCAGAAGCCCAAAATATTTGAGTCTTAGGATAAGCATCTTTGTAGTCAGCTAAAGGAAAAGAGCAAAGATTCATTCAAGTGTTAGATCTGCTCAATAATTTTCAGTAATATAGAAGATTTCTTCTTTTATCATACCAAATTTCTTTAATTTTCAAGGATCCCCCTGCAAAATAGACAATTAGACTCCAAGATTAAGAAGTCCTGGATAAGAAGTTAAATCGTAGTGTTTAAAGCATTATTTTGGTGTTTTTTTCCCTCATTAATGAGTGAATTTGGATTCTGTTTTTCAGTTCATTCCTAGGAGGCTTGGCTGAGCTGCCATCCCACTAACTCTGTAGATCCCCATCTTTAACTGAAATTTATTAGCTACAAATGTAGAAATCTTCTGTAAGTTCCTCTGTGGAGTGAATTCTTGCTTCCTAAGCTTGACAGAGCTAAGCTGTTTCCTGCCTAAAATACAATGGTTTGTGATGTCTTCAGATGGAACGTTTAGAAAATCATGGATTTAGTATACTTTATTAAAGACACAAGCGATGCACATCAGTCTGTTTATCTCTGTGTTGCTTTATTCTGTGTTGCGTAGCTCCGTGCCTAAAATTACGAGTCTATATATTTGCAGGATTGGGACTGTAGTAATTTTTAAGTGTTTTTAAATGTTTACCCAGGCTATATTATGTATCTCTCCACTTGTAAAAACAGTTTTCTTCAACCATGTACTTAAGTGTGTACATTCAAAAGGATTCTGATTTGCAGGACTGGGGTCTGAGAATGTGAAGATATTTCTCTTGGCATTCAGGTTTCTCTATTTCCTAAGTTAGAATTGAGATCTCAGGAATAAATAACCTTAATTAAAAGACACTTTCTTTAAAATTAAAATTCAATTTATTTAAAATTGCTACTTAGTCTCTTAATTATGTAGTACTTTTTAATTTTTTATTTTTTCATTGAATCCTTGAATAATTCAGATTGGCAGGGAGGTCTCTAGTCCAACCTCCTGCTCATAGCAGCATCAGGTATGACATCAGACCAGGTTGCTCAGATGTTTATGAAATAGGATCTTGAAAACACCCAAGGACAGAAACTACACAACCTCTTGGATAACCTGTTCCTCTACTTGACTGCCTTAGTGGTGAAAGTGTTTTCTTTGTATTGAGCTGAAGCATCTCTTGTTTTAATTTATGTCCATTGCCTCTTGTACTGCCAGCATGCACCTTTGTGAAGAGCCTGGCTCTGTCTTCTTGTTGACCTCCTGGTAGCTAATGGCACCTGGCTGGTAGGTCCCCCCCAAAGCCATCACTTGTACAGGCTGAACAAGCTCAGGTCCCTCAGGCTCTCCTCACAGAGCATGTGGTCCACCCCGTGACCATCTTGGTGGCCCTCTACTCAACTCTTTCCAGTTGATAACAGCTTTTGTGTACTGTGGGGCTCAAAACTAGACACAGGATTCAAGATGCTATCTAGTGAGTGTTGAGTAAAGTGAGGACGAGTACTTCTTTCAGTCTGCTGTCCATGCTTATGTTAAAACAGTTTAAGATGCTCTTGGCCTTCTTGGTTGCCAGAAAACAGTGCAGGCTCGTGTTCAGCTTGCTCTTCAGGCTCTACCTTCTCAGGTGCAGGACATGACATTTGTCCTTGTTCAATTTCACAAGGTTCCTGCTGGACCATTCCTCCAGCCTGTTTAGGTGGCCCTGCACTTGAGTATATCCACTCCTTCTCCCAGTTTAGTATTAGCTGCAAACTCGGCTTACCTGCTTCAGGTCAGAGATAAAGATGTTGAACAATATAAATCCCTGTGGTATCCTGCTTGTAACGGGCCCCTGGGTAGACCATTGCCCATTAGCTCCTACCCTTTGAGCCTACTTATCCCTCCAGGTTTTTTTCCCATTCAATTTTCTGTGCATTCAGATCATAATATCCTAACTAGGATTCAAGAATACCATAGAAGACATGTTTGTAAGGAAAGCTTCCTTGCCAAAGAGCTTTCTAATATATTGGGTAAAAAAAAGTTACACCCTTCAAAAGGGGAGAGCCAAAGCACACTCTGCCAGCGCCCCTGAGCATGGCCCGCGCAGTGCCTGTAGAGGCAGAACTGTGTGCTCCAGCCAGTCCTGACAGGTGACTGAGTTTCCCAGTTGGATAATCTAATTGGATAAAAACAACTTTATGCCAGTAAAATAGGCAGTACGGACTATCAGCTCTGTTTGCACTGGCATGCTATTATAAATGGAGTTCAGCAGATATTTCTGTGTGGGCTTTCTGTATGACTTAGCACCAAGGAAGTTAAGAAACAAGTCTGACTGTTGAAATTTAATATTTTTTCCACAGAAGTAGAATTACAAACTCTGAAAACATGGAAGGGGAGTGCAATTTGCATGTTCTTTCACAATGAATGAATTTCTTAACTGATCATATTAAGCAGTACAAGCAGAACTAATATTCTGTATGCAGTTGAAGCTGTAAGATGGCAGTATGCATCAGAACTCTGCTTATTGCAGGGTGATGAATTCTTAAAATGTGTATGGATTATTAAAGTGGCAATATTCCTAATTGTAAAATCTTTAATGCTTCTCCCCAAAAACCCTATTTCATCCAGAGCCTGTGTTTTATGTTATAATAAGGTTAACCTCTTAATATTAAGATCTTGATTTTTCCAGTCCAGATTTTCTTGAGAACCTCTCAAACACTTGAATGGGCTTGGCTGAAGAAAAGATTAAACTTCCCTGAGTATCTAAGTTAAAGGGTTGGGAGAATGTTTTTGTTTTCCTTTCTTTTTTTTTGAAAATTATTGCTAGAAAGAGAATGCCATAATGCAGTGGTTGTGCGTTCACTTTTTCCTCCTTTCAGTTTCTGTGCAATGATCATATGAGAAGGACATAATGATCCTTCCTTTAATGGAAGTCTTTATTTAGTTCCTGAATTCTTGTGGCGATATTCATCCTTGCTTTGATGAAGTGAATACAACAAAGGTGGACGTAGTCAAGTATTTGGCTTTAGAAACTTACCTGAAAAGCTCTCTGAAAAGGAGCTTATAGGGCATTTCCAGAGATACAGAGAAGTTTTCTTTACTTGATCTAGAAAAAAGCATTCAGAGTGTCAGTGGGAATAACTAGAGGTTCAAGTGCTCCACATCTCCCAAAATCAGGCTTCATAAGTTGTTAGGTCTCCCTCTGTGAAAGTAGCTGGTACATTAATTGTTTCTTTCCTCCACCCCAGATCATTCTATTTTTTTCTTCCAGAATATAACAGAGTTAAAACCACATTTACATTCAGAGGGCAGGAGTACTTTAATTAGAGCAACAGAACTCAGACTAGCTCTCTCCTTCATATTTTCCACAGGGCAAGAAATATAATTTTTCATGTAAATGAAATCTTAAAGAGGGATCTGTACAGATTTGATGACATATGGAAACAGCTCAGCAATCCACAGTGGGGTCACAGCCTCAAGGTTAAAAAGTAATTCACTAGTCTGTGAACAAAGCTACAAAGAAGGTGAATACTAAATATTTAATACTGATTTTTCTCTGTTTCATTCTCCTTTCTGTTTTCACAGCACTGGAGAGCATGGAAGGATATTACTACAGAGACAGTGTCTCAGTAGAAGAATTTCAAGCTCAGGTTAATGCAGCCTCACTAGAAAAAGTCAAGCAGTATAACCAGAAACTACGGTGGGTAATAAACCAGTATTTCTGAGATTAGTTTACCAAGTTCTGCTTTTCAACTCAGTTTCTGTGACACATCTTTAAACTGAAGTGCATTGTACAGTGGTTGTTTTTTGGTGCATGATTAAATAAGATACAAGATTCATGGTTCTGACTCTTTTGATTTCTGCACTGCTCAGTTACTTTTTAAAAAAATAGTTTTCCCATGAAAACTATGTCTGTAATTGCCTCCAAGTTGTTTTACTAATGCATATAGAAAAGGAAATGTCTAGTTGATCACAAACAGAGTATCAGAATTGCTAAACATTATGGTCAGATTTTTCAGACCGTATTTACCTAATTTCTACAGAATAGGACTTAAAAAATAGTGTTGTCACTGTCAAGGCTGAGCATCTCCTCCCCCCATACTGCTAGGAATGTAAACATATTTGGATACTTGCACGAGCTTTGGGTATGGATTAGAGAGTGCATACTTTCCAGTATATGTAAAGATTATGCAGCTTTGTATTTCAGTAAATATTTCATTAAGAAGTTGCACATGAAGACAGAATTTTTGGTATACAAAATAATTTAGTAGTTGTGAAGTAAAAAAGATGAGGATGTGTACATAGACTGCTCTTGCATCTCACTGTATCTGTGAAAAACTGTTTAAGTACACTTATTTGCACATGAGTTGAAGGAAAAGAGTGCAAAGAACTGCAGTAAAATCACATCTATTCACTTTTAAAATCCTTGAATCAGATGGAAACACTGTCATTTTGCTACAGCTGTCAGGCACCTTATAAAAGCAGCAGAGAACAGGAGTCAAAAAAAAAAAAATATTAAGGACAGTGGAGAAGGGGAAAGAGGATAAATGAGGGTCTCTTTTTCCAATTCCTTCACCTGTTGGCCCACTCCTGTCTTTGGAAGGTTTTCTTCACGGATATTACAAAAGTATTTCTCTAATGTGTAATCAAAGCAGTGGAATTTCTACGTTCTGTTTTAATATAAGCAGTACTACAGCAAAAGCGATTTTAAAGACTGTTGTATTCAGTGAGTACTGCATATCCATTTTTTTGGTGACATCTATGTCAGTGCACTTCTATGTTAATGACAAATGTAGTATTTATTTAGTCTGTTTTCCACCTTGTTGTATTAGTACTTCCTATTGGGAAGAATGTTCTTCCTGGGTATTTATTTGACAAGGCTTATGTTATAAATCAGTTTGACAGAAAGCTTTGGTCATGCCGGTATTTGGCCTAGATGAAGTCAGCTGGTGTTGGAAAGAGATTTCTATCAGTTGGACAAGAGAAGACTTTCTGCGCTGTTTTTTTTCTGTGAATAGGCCCAATTTAGCCCCCATGAAAATCCTTAAAAGAAATTCTTCCTGACTTTATGCTCTAGTGTTCCCTGACCTTGCTTACCTCATGGGTTGGGATGTCCATTCATGCTGTGGCTCTAATGAGGTACATTCCTCTCATGGTGGTGTGACACACAGCTCTGATCAGCTGCTAACCTCCAAGGCCCAGTTTTGCAAAAAGTTACTGTGAAAAAGTTATCATTCATCAAAAATTACCATGGGTAGCTCTGTCTAGTCACAAGAATAGGAAAATTTTGGATTTTTTTCCAGCCTTCTAATGTCTGATGAGAACATTCAGTAATTCATTTTTTTTGTTTGTTTTCTGTTGTACTCTATCCATTTCTTAAATGAGGCACAAACAGCTTCAGGAATCACTGACATAATGTGAAGAGGAAAAATAGAAAAGCAGATGCTTCGTTCTTGTTCTGCCGTTTGCTACCCTGTGTAGGTGTTTGGTCAGGAGAATCTAATAAAGAAACAACAGCAGCAAAAGATATTAACATTTGGATAATTGCTCTAAAGAAGGACAAAAAAGTGAAACTGAATATTCCCTGGAGACATATCAAGTGCAATAATACTATCTTAAACTCTTCCCATGGAAGAAATCCTCTGCGTAGCACCACCTAATCAGTCATAAAATAAGTCATTCAAGACACAATCTATAAACCATTCTTTCTCTGTAGAGAAGGAATGCATTGCTTGCTGCTCAAAGGACCATTTTGTGACCATCCTGTAATCTCTCCATTGCTACAGCAGTGGAAAGCAAATGGGAGCAACAGCAAAGGAAAAAGTGGTGGGAGAAGAGGATGGGGATTAGTGGGAAGGAAACCCCTGGTTGGCAGTGACACTGCAGCTGAGCCATCCGTTGATGAGAACTCTTGATGCAAGTTCAGCTTCTCTTATTCCTGACACATTTAAATTGTAATCCTCTAATAATGTCAAACAGATGAGACTCCTTTGGTTGTGTGGGATTCCACTTAGAAACAGACATGTTGGCCTGACTTGGGATGTACCCAAGCAGGACAATAAAATTTTAAAATCACTACCTTTGCTCAGCTACCTCTTTGTTTCTTACAGTAAAGTCTTCTTAAAGTTTGAGTACAAAGAATGTTTTTGCGGAATGCAATGTCCTGTGGGTCACAAATCTGATACTGATGTATGCCTTAAAAGAATTCACTTACAAATCATTTACTTGAGTGAATAAAAAAAATATATTAGTAAATTTTCAGTGGATTTCAGGAAGGATAAACTTTATCCATCGTATAAAGTGAAGAAGCTGAATCCTTGCTTTTATTGCAAAATTCATTCATAACTATGGAACTGTGACCAGCTTTTCCACAGTATCAGAAGTGATACAATAAATCCAAGTGCAAAATTGTCCTCCTTGACACTGAATTAGGCATCATAAGAGCTTATGTCTTTCATGGTTCTTTCTTGGGGGCTTTTGCAAATACTACCTCAACTATGAAATAGTAATGAAAAGATTATAACTTTTATGAGAATGCATGAATGACAGTTGAAGAGTGGTTATAGAATTTGATGCTTATGTGGAGCAAAGAGAAAGTTCCTCCGTCTTTTGTAATGGACTTAACCCTAGCTATTTGAATCTAATTAATGATAGAAGGGAACTTTTATTCTAAGGCCAGCAGAAGTTGAATTTTTCTGCAATTCCTGAGGAAATTCCCTACCCCAGCAATATGTAGGAAGTCTTTTATCGAAATAAAGATGTTATTTAAAAACAAACCAACCGGATACCTAATTTATGAAATTACTGAAACGGCAAGGAAATCTTCAGCATCTGGCCTGTAATTAATCTTAATGGTGCTGGATTTTTTTTTTTTTTTCAGTCAGCCAGATTGCACTTATTTTTATAGTTCATCACTTATGTTTCTGTGACACTGATAAGGAAACAAAAGTTATACTCAAATTTGTTTGCAAGTAGAGCTGGTGCTGGTAGTTGCCAGCAATGTAAATTGAACCTCATTAAGTTGTTTGTTAATGAGAAACATGCAGTACAACCAAGTGAAAGTAGTTAGGTCAGCAGAGATTTTGAAGATCTTTTTTACTGTGTGTGATAGCTCAGCAGTTGTCTTCTAATTTAGAACCTGTGCATCTGAGCTGTACAGAGGCTGATGTTAAATGAGCCCATTCTGTGTTCTTCTGCCTCCTCCCACTTCTCCCTGTCTTTCTCCTTTGGTACTCCTTGCCATTCAAATAGGATTTTTCCATCCTGAATCAGTCCTTTTGCTTTTACAGATACCAGGGACAGTTTTGCTTCAACAGTGCAGGGCACAATGGCGTTTGGATCCATAACTACTACAAATGCCGATAGCAATAACGAAAACTCACAAGTGCACTATATTTCATTGGATTGCTTTGTTGGTTTAAGTATTCTCTTGCAAATCTTGAGTCATGTAATTGCAAAAGCATGAGGGTAAACTTTAATTGCAATTTTTGAACAATTACTGCTTTAAGAATTATTTAGTTAAAATACGTTCTGTGCTTTGAATATGATTTTTCTATTTGGTAAAGATCTCTTTCTTGCAGAGTAAGATTGGGTATGGTAGTTATTATTACCTTGCACAGAAATAAATCTTATGGTCGTTACTGTGACCAAAAGATTGGTTGCAAGGCAGGCCTGTTGGAAGCTGGGACAGGCCCTGACAGACAGAGTAGCTTAATAGTCATAACTCAGCCAATCCTTGGTCTTGATAGTGATTTTAATATAAAACATTTAGCTTTATCCTCAGAGAAATCAGGTTTTAGATTATCTTCCTGCAAGAGGTAAGTGTTTTGTGTTTTTTTTTTTTGTTTTTTTTTTTTTTTAATGGGCCTTGATGAGTGTAGGAATTAGAACTTACATAATGTTTGTTCAAGTTATCAGAGGTTTGGACTTGATGGCCCAGGATGGACCTTTCAGTTTACAGTAGGAAGGAAGCTTGCTCTTCCAGTCTTCCTTTTGCTATGAATTTTTAACATTTTATATCAGGCAGATCAGATTAGTGTGTTTTTGGTTTTTTTTGTTTGGGGTTTTTGTTTGTTTGTTTGTTTGTGTGTGTGTCTGTGAATTCTCTTTCTGGGAAAAAAAATGTGTTCCTCATATGGCATTCTATTAAAATGCAATTTTCTACAGGTGCTCTTGGTTAGCTTCTTAATCAGAAAAGTCCAGGCACATCTGCTCTAAAGAGTTTTCCTAGACGCATTTGTGCACATGAAGGATGTATTTCAAAGGCAGAGAGGATGTTCGGGGCACAGGTCAATCAGTGGGGTGCAGGGCTGTGGCTATACCGAGTATGCTTCCAGCTTCTGGGTCTGCAGTATGCTTTGACGCACATTGTTAACAGCAAAAGCAGACTATGGTGGAATGTAGATGCCTAAAACCACACATCAGTATACCTGTTTGGATTCCAAAACTATGCAGCTAATTTTTACCTGATGAGAAATTACTGAAATCACTGGCTTTTAGATTAGTAAGCATTTGAAATGCCTCTTTAGTACCTATGCTTGCATTTAGACATCTGAACACCTTTAAAATTTGATTCCCAATGATATAGTGGCTTGCATTGGGAATATTCAGTGGGAAATAAGCAAAATAATGGATGAAGGTGAGGTTAGGAGAGCTCCACTTTCCCATAACTTTCAATTTATCCACAGCATGGTGCTTTCT